ATCAAACACGGAAAAAACATACGGATTATAACTGACAAAGTGCGGTCTGCAATGCATTGTAATGACAGTTACGCATTTCTAGCATAGATAGTTTCATTGGTCTCTGAATATGATGCATTTTGCTTAAAAAAAAAACTACTCATGGTGCAAAACAGTGAAAAAACATTCTATTTTTGTTGCATTGCGCTTGTTTTGTGCATTTTTCCCCCCAAAATAACACACAATTATTCAATCTACTGAGTCAATCCACATATATGAAAGCTTGTTCCCACCATATAATAAAAATAAATATATGGTAATTGCGGCAATTTTGACTTTTCTCCGAATTCTGAGTTTACATTTCGCAAATTCTGTTTTTTGTTTCTGCTATGGAATAAAAATAAAACAAAACATTTATTTGTGACTATCTTAGAAATCTGACCACAATTCTGACGTTTCTCAGAAGTGTGAAATTTAAACTCGCAATTCAGTTTTTTCCCCTCAGAATTTGAAGCTAATGTCTTGAAATTCTAGGTCTATGATTATATCTTTAAAGTTTTTTCTCAGAATTGCGTGGAAAAAAAAGTTTAAAGTTAATAGTTAAAGTGGAGTCAGATTATGAGTGCAGAAGTTACATTTTGATCTGTTTCTCACAAAAAGCTATTGTATGGCATCAGAAGACACTATGGTTAACATGAGGGTGAGTAAATGTCAGAACTGTCCAATGGACAACAACTGGATAGTTTTTACAAACAGAACGCACTGTCCAGAACAGCATTCAAACTCGACTTGATCAAGTTCAATCAACAACTTGAGTCACTATCTAAACAAAGACTTTGTAAGATGTCTGCTAAAGATCTGTTAATCTGGAAAGCATCTGCTGTGTAAAAACATCTGATAAACTTCTTAGAAAAAACATCTTAAACATCTTAATTAAAGACACTTCGAAATGTCTATATCTAACAGGAAACGTCATAGAGACGAGACGAGCAAACACTTAAAAAAATAGCCTACATCTTGTCAATCAAATAGACATCTCCAAGATGTACTTGTGCTATCTGGGAAAGCAGCACTGGAAACCTCTCACGGCGTTTTTTATAAGCCAGTCTAAACTTATTCAACTGATATGACTTTTCCAAACTGACATGATGACTAGTTCTGTGAACATCCGAAGTAATTTGTACCGGGCACACCCGGACTTTGATACACCCAAAATACCAACCGTAATTTACCAGTTAAAACAGTTGTTTGATGAAAACACAGTGTAGTTTATAATTGAAGGCTTGCACAGAGGTATAACAATAACAGTCTCGAGAAGATACCGCTCTTTCGACAAAACGCAAGCCGATATTTTGATTTTGAACCGAGAAACGGGATGTTTAGTTTATGATTCAGGATCTTCTGCAACTTATATTTAGCCTACTTTATTAAATGAGTTTGCAGGACTGACAGCACTGGCGAAAAAACTGAATTGGCTATAACCGCGACAGTTGCATTTGTCTTACACTTGTTTTATAAAGTCGCTTTATTATACCTCATAACATTAAAGTATGAAGCATGTGCGGTATAAGTGAAAGAATGTGCTTACGTCTCAGGCCAGCACGCCAAACTCCTTCCTCCGCCCTGGTTTCCTCCTTAAACCGTTTACTTCAAGTTTTATTCCACTCTTTTACCCACTTGTTGAAAAAGCAGTGTTCAGTCTCGCGGTCTGAAGAGCTGGAAGTTTAGTAGTGTCTCGTGAAGTGAAGATAAACACGCCTGAGTGAAACATGCAGCACGAGACGCGCGCGCACAGCTGACTGCAGTGACGCAAACGCTCGCTCCTCCTGTTCATAGGAAAAAGGAACGCGTTTCCAGGCCACTGTTCAGTCCTCATTAACTCCAACTCTCAGGCAGCCCTCCTGATGTTAAAAAGACTTGCAATAATAAACACTACTACCAAGAAAAGAACTGTCACTGTAGGTAGGATAAATATCTTTTATTTAGAAGCTACAAGTCAAATATGTTCAAAGATGTTATCAAGAGCATTTTACACATGTGGATACATTTTAAAGAAGCATATTGCTGGACAAGAGTACAGCTTGTGCTTTTACATCTGCTTTAAGAAGATTATAGACAATGCATGATGCTGTAAGTGTAGGCCTAGTTGTTCAGCAGTCACTTAACAAACCCAAGATTGTCCCTCAGATTCCCGCCTTTACATATTTCCTGCATCTGGTTTTGTAGAGCAAGAAAGGAACAATGAAAAAATCCTCATTCTTCCTGTGCTCTTCCTGTCAGTGTGTATGTCTCAGTCTGTGTCTGACTTAGACAAGGGGTTTCCAGGAGCATTTAGAGCTGTTTTACAGTAGTTCACTTTTGATTTTTCCCACATAAATCCAGGTTTTATCAGTTTAAATTCACAGTGTCCTCCCAGGACAAAATCTTTATGGGTTGGCCACCTCTCCTGGGACCAAAAAGTAAGCTACACTGCAAGAGTAGTTAGTGTGGGTCCCGTCACAGGGCTCAGGCAATCTTGCTTCTGTATAAAAATAGACCAGCCTATTACCAACAATCAACCTAATTCCTGCCTCTTCGTCTTCTAACCTCTAACAAAGAAATGAGGGCTGTCTGAGACGCAAATGAAGGATTCTCAACAAATACCAATTAAAAGTATGCTGTAACTTTCCATTTATAGATTCTTTTGGTGTCCATTCACACTAGTAGTTCAGCATGAACTGACCTGGAAACACTAAAAAATCATTCATAATCGATTAGTACTCATAGTACAAGCACACGGAAATCTCAGCGGGGTATTTTCACCATGTGACTTTCACAAGTCTTTTGAGAGAGAGACCATAACAAATTTGTTCAGCTTCAGCTGAAAATTCAAGAAAGCATGAAAATCCCACCTGGCAATGTAGCACAACATTACTTTGTAACACCACAGCTTATACAATGTTAATAAAGTGTATATTTAATATCACTAGACATAAATTAATGGGATAGACTAATATTTACTAACCCAAACAGTGGTCACCCATTGACTTCTATTGTATGTAAAAACAAAACAAAAAGGAAAAAACAAACAAACTGATTTCCATTTCTCAAAATATTTTAATGTTTTAATATATTCAAGTATTTTAAACTAGTCTACTTTAATGTTCCACAGAAGAAGAAAAAAAGTCAAACATGTTTGGAACGACATGAGGCTGAGTATGATGCCAGGAATGTCTTTTTTTTGGTGAATTATACATTTAACATATATATTTTGACTAGAAATAACTGTACAAGGTCATTGTGTAAATGTGTGTACAAGAGCTTGTGTACAGAGGGAATCCGCTAAGGCAATAACAGACAGGATGTTGGAATAAATGCAGAGCAGCAGGCAGTCTTGGAGTTAGAGCAGCATGTGCTGTGGAAAATAGTCAAGATTACTTTCCATTACACAGGGAGTTCAGCTGACCCTAATGGCCCTTCAGTCCTAAACATCTATCATAGTCCTTAAAGGGAAGTAAGTGGCGATTGTGTCATTTTCCCATGCTGGAATACTGCTACAGGTGAGCAAACAGGTTAATTCAACTGACAAATGTGAACACTGTGGAGCTTTCAAAACATTACCCACACTGCCTCAACCAATGCTGGGACTTTGAGGCGGGGCTATTCGATTATCTGTCCAATGGCAGTGAGGAGGAGAGTTTAAGTAATGTTGGTGGGTGTGGGAAGCAGGGCGGGGCCGAGAGCCGTGGGAACTCATTCGCGACCGGTGTGGCGCTCAGGTGACGCTCAATAGCACTCGCGCCAACGGCCTTGCTCCGTTCCCACGGCTCTAGGCCCCGCTCTGCTTGCCACAGGGGGTTATTCCAGAAAGCAGGTTATGTCACATACCCGGGTAAGTTTACAGATAAGTAAACATATAACCTCAACTCTTGGTTCCCAAAACTGAGGTAACTTTCAGGATTAGTTTACTTTAGAGGTATACTGAATGAGGTTTCTTACTTGATGAGGCTTCAGTTGAGATGACAGATTTCACACAATATTATATTATATAGTCATCATTTTCTTTTTATTATATCATAAAGCAATGTTTATTATGAACTTTATTCTCTATTTTACTTTATTTAATTTTACTGTTTTATTGTCATCTCACACATCGTGGATCTGCATTCAAAAGGTTTTCAATATAATGTAATGCTATAATATAAAAATATACAAAAATAAACATACATTTAAAAAATACATATGGGACAAATTTGGAAGCAAAATGACAAAACATAAAAAAATTCATACAGCCATATTATCTTTGCAAGCACTGTTTTTTGTTCAATCAGTCTTTCTTTTTTAATTCATAAATTTAGCATAAATTAAACAATATAATTCTTGTTTACAGTATCAAAAACACTGATTAAAGATTAGAACATAATCATAAAAAATGATTGCAGAACCGCTCACCTCTGCAGACTGATTTAGGTGTTGATAGTGTTGCATAATTCATAGTCCGAGGACGTGAACAGCTACGAATAGACATCACATTACGACATGGCGTGAACGCAGCCTGAAGCGTGCTTCTTCTTAGCATCCATTTCCTTGGTGACTTTGATACATTTATTTGTGATTTCCTTGGTGAACATACTTTGAATTGACTGAACTTACTCCTGGACAAAGTTTTAGAAGCGATAACTGAATAAGAAAGGTGAGGGTTAATACACAGAGAGTTCTGAATTTATATGACAGTAAGTTTACCCGTCTTTCTGGAATACTCCCCAAAAGCTCACTTCACCTTCATATAATAATATAATACAGTAGTGTGGTTATAAATGTTTTATATTTTTCACCTCTCGAGAACCTCTATGCAAATGGAAGTGCTTCAGATATCATGTATCGGCTTCAATATGTTTCAAATGCCTCAAAACCTTTGTCATATGATGAGGTTACTAGAAGAACCCTTAGAGTTATAGCAGGAACGTATGGGTTCCTCAGGGAACTGTCCTTCTTGAAAAGGTACCTACCAAGAGGTTCTCCAAAGGGTTCTACCAGAGTCTTGAAAACATGTTTGGCATGACCTTGTTGTGTAGGAATTTCACCAACACAATAATAAAGAAAGCATGACAAGGGTTGTGTGCACTGGGCTTTTCTTCAGGCTTTCTACCCTATCCCTACTCTCCTCTGTCCTTGCCCTCTTCTTTTCTCTCACTTGTCTTCAGTTTTGCTCAGCTCTTCCTCCCCTTCCACCCCCTCTGCAGGACCGACCTCCACGGTGAGGATCTCCTCTCCCTCAACGCGGGGAGTCATGCGGATGATCATGGTGCTGTCAGTGGTCTCTGATACCATGTCATCATCATCCTGCATGCGAGGCCGGGGAACGGGCGAGCGTCGGTGCATTGGGGAGGGAGGGGGCACTGGACCTGTGGAGGTCATGCCGGAGCCAGGAGTGGACGGCTGAGAGAGAAAGAGAGGATAGACAAAAGAAGTGAGGGGCATGACAGGTCAAATATCAACAAGCTGGGCTGTACCAATAGTTAATTTTTGTAATGACAGTAGATTCAAATGGAGGGTTATGGGAAATAAAGATGACTAAGGACGTTTCCGGCTTCTATATTATACACAAGCTTGATTTATTGTGTTCAAAAATTTTGCTTTCTCTGTGCTGCTGCAAGGGGGCGCTCTAGCGTGCATTAGAATAAAACATCTTCTTCTACCGTAAGGTAACCAGACTTTCCCATTTTTCCTGGGGACAGTCCTGGCTGGCATGGAAATCACATACTTCCCTACTATATAGTAGGCGAAAAACAGTACGTGACAAAAAGAAATATGTCTGAATTCACAGTACTCTTAAAAGAGTAGGCAAAAAGAACCCGGATGCCCTACTTCTTCTGGTGAGATTCTGAAGTGTGCGATGGACACTGACCATGGGGCCTGACCATGGATGGTCACGTGATAAGGGCAACATATTAGGGCAACGTATAGAGCAGGGTTTCTCAAACTCGGTCCTGGAGGGTCACTTTCCTGCAGAGTTCAGCTCCAACCCTGATCAAACACACCTGAGCAAGCTAATCAATGTCTTCAAGATTACTAGAAACTCACAGGTAGGTGTGTTTGATCAGGGTTGGAGCTAAACTCTGCAGGACAGTGGCCATCCAGGACCGAGTTTGAGGAACCCTGGTATAGAGCATAGTTTTTTAGCGGTCATGAAGTAACTTCTTATTCAAAATTAGTACCTAATCAAGAGAGTATGCGATTTCGGACACAGCCCTGGTTTTTGGCGTCCTGTCCCAGACTAGAGTTGTCCACGGAAATGTGCCCGTTTTATAGCACGTTCAAAACAACACAAAAAGCAATTATGTAGTGATTATTTTTTACACAACAGATGGGGCTGCAATCTACATTGATGAAGAACTTAACCTGGATGAGAGCAGAGCACTTTCATTAGCAATTATAAAGAGCCACGGTTATTGGTTTATACGTAACTAATCAAATTAAATTAAGTGATACTATTTGTATGCTCTAAATAAAGCTTGTCTACTTTTGACCATTTCCAGAGGTAGTGAAAAACGCATTCGTCCAGATTGCTTTCGTAGTGTAGATGCTCGCGTAGATGCGCGGTCTTGTGGCCATCAGAGCCTAAACGAAAGCTGCAGCTCTTCGTATGTACAAAAACCCATACATTTACCCGCCCATAGACCTCCCCTTGAAGAAATCAGGACAGAAGTGGTTGAAAGTGGACAAAAGAGACGGATTAGAACACTAGGTGTAAACGGGAATGTGTCTCCCTCATCTACTTGTGAGCCGATCGACCAAAGCGCATCTTAATACCAGGAGTAAACAGGTAAACATCTGATTTTAGGTTTATGGTGAAGGACAATATTTTTAGTTGTTACAACCAGAGCTGTTGTCTGGCTTCAGAGTATGTTTTTGTCCTAAAGCGTCTAAACAGAGGGTGTAAATACCTCTAGAGTTGCTCCCTTATATGACTCCTTCAGCTTGGCAAATGTTTGTCCTTTGGCAAGCTCCAGGGCAGCCTTGTAGAGTTTGGGTGTCTCTGGCCGCTCAGTGATGACCTCACCCGTCTCCTTAACCTTCTCATCTGTAGGCTTCTTATCTTTCGTCAACATTTTCCTATGGAGGGAGACAAACTCATTGGGATGGCCATTCGTTGAGTTGTAAACTAGCATGTGCATCGCTGAGACTGTAACAGGAAGTGGTGCTCCATAAGGTTTGATGATCTCAAGCATTTACATAACATCATTCAACACACATGCACAGTAAATTGGTCCCACGGGTGAACAGATCATGTGACTCAACGGATCATGCTTTTTTCATTATCTCAATAACCTCCAAACTAACAAAATCAAACACTAATCCCTCCTTCCATTAAAGAGAAATGAGGGTAGGAGAAGGACGCAGAGAGAAAGAGACGCAGTATGAGGAGAAAAACAGACGATATTTAGCAAACAAGGCACTAGGAGATCTGTGAGTGTGATACAGAGGTGTAAATGGCTCAGACCACTGCGCTGGGTGAAGTGTGTGTGTGTGTGTGAGGATTGCCGGGGCTCTTGGTTGAGGTTTGAGATCTGATCCCCTCACTTGGCCTTCTTGCGCAGTAGCTTCTGGGACTCGGGATAGTGTACTAAGATGTCTGCCAGGTCCTTCTTATCCAAGATGAAGAGGTTAGCAAAACCATGGGCCTTTACGTTAGCGGTTCGTCGGTTCCCACCACCACCCGCCAGCAAACTGATGGAGTGGACACACACAAAAAACAGTCTGTTTGGCTTTTCACAGAAAACACATTGTTACACTGCGTGGTTCCATTATAGGGCTGGGTATTGATACAGATTTTGTGATTTGATTACGAATCACAAGCTCTTGATTTGTTTGCATTCGGATTTCATTTTAATTCAACATCTATTCTTTCTAATCTAATCTAAATCTAAAGCTGTAAACTAGGTAACACTGTCAGTTGGTACGTTACTATAATATAAAAGGTAAAAGTGATAGTTCACCCAAAAATGAAAATTCTGTCATTATTTACTCTCCCTCATGTCGTTCCAAACCCGTAAGACTTTCGTTCATCTATAGAACACAAATGAAGATATTTTTTATGAAATCGGAGAGCTTTCTGTCCCTCCATTGACAGCTACACAACTGAGACTTTGACGCTTCAAAAAGTTCATCAAGAGATCGTAAAACTCATTCATATGGATTTAGCGGTTTAGTCCAAATTTTCTAAAGACACTCGATCACTTTATATGATGAACAGATTTAATTTAGGCTTTTATTCACATTTAAAAATTGATCAGCGAACCGAAGCTCAACTGAACCTGCTTGCCGTGCGGTTCTTGCTGAAGCTCAAACTTGCTGCGTAACGCGAGAATGAACCTCATTGGTTCTTGCAGAAGCTCAAAAGTGATGTGTAAAACGAGAATGAACCTCATTGGTTCTCGCATGTCAAGCGAACTTGCTTGAACTTCCGTTTACCACAACTGATGTGTGAGTTGAATGTTTATATGTGAATAAAAGCCTAAATTCAATCTATTCAAAATATAAAGCAATCGAGTTTCTTTAGAAAATTTGGACTAAACCGCTCAATTCATATGAATTAGTTTAACAATCTCTATGAACTTTTTGAAGCATCAAAGCGGTAGTTGCGTAGCTGTCAATGGAGGAACAGAAAGCTCTCAGATTTCATAAAAAATATCTTCATTTGTGTTTTAAAGATGAATAAAAGTCGTACGGGTTTGGAACGACATGAGGGTGAGAAATTAACGACAAAATTTCCAGTGTTGGGGGAACTATCCCTTTAAGTCAGGGGTAGGCAAGTTCGGTCCTAGAGAGCCGTTGTCCTGCAGAATTTAGTTCCAACCCTAATCAAACACACCTGAACAAGCTAATCAATATCTTCAGGATTACTAAGGCCTTCCACACGGACACGGGTATTTTTATAACCGGGGTTTTTCCTACAGCGTTTAAAAAAAAAATCCCGTCCACACATGCTCGGTCTCCGTCTACATGAAAACGCAAAAACACGCTATCAAGCGCGGTCAAGAGCATGCCACGCCAGTAGGCGGCGATATAAACCTTAACTGTAAAGCCACGTTGGCCAATCAGAAGCGCAAATCTGGCGTCAAACACAGCTGATAACGGCGCACACTCTGACGTGGCAAGGCAAAAACCCCTGTTTCACTGTCTACACGACAACACTGTAACCGGCGTTTCTGAAAATTCTCACCCTGGCAGGGATTTTCAAAAATGTTCGGTTTCAGTGCGGTTTCGTGTGGACGAACGGCCGAACCGCGTAAAAAAAGTCACGGTTATAAAAATACCCGTGTCCGTGTGGACAGGGCCTAAGGCAATAGGCAGGAGAGGTTTTTTTTCAAGTGTTGGAGCCAAACTCTGCAGGACAGCGGCTCTCTAGGACCGAACTTGCCTACCCCTGCTTTAAGTTAAAACAGTGTCAAATTCAACAAAATAACAAAATTCAAAATGTTCACTGATTTTGTTGAAAAAACTAAAACTGCTATAAATCTTTAGATATAATAATCAAACACAGTTGTAAACATTTAAATTACACATACGGCAGGTTTGAGTGAACTACCTTTTGTTACGGTTTTCAGGTTCACAGACTTATTTTTTGCTCTCTCTCTCTCTCTCTCTCTCTCTCTCTCTCTCTCTCTCTCTCTCTCTCTCTCTCTCTCTCTCTCTCTCTCTCTCTCTCTCTCTCTCTCTCTCTCTCTCTCTCTCTCTCTCTCTCTCTCTCTCTCTCTCTCTCTCTCTCTCTCTCTCTCTCTCTCTCTCTCTCTCTCTCTCTTTGTGTGCTGACTGAGTCATCTGTATCACCTGCTCCTCATTAGCACGACTCTACTTAACCTGTGCCTTTTCTGTTCTGTGTTGTCAGAAGTTTGGTGTTTTCCGTGCATTGTGTTCCAGCTCTCCAGTTGTTCCTCAGTCCTGGTCCAGTGTGGATGATTGCTACTCTGACAAATTCAGATGTTGTTTATGGACTCTCTGTTTGCGGCTCTGGTTGTCGCCTGGATACCCACGATTCTCTGTACCAGTGTTTAACTGGCTTTGCCTGCTGTTCACACTAGTGTATATCTAATAAATTCACCTTACTGCATTGGCGATTGCATCTGTCTCGTTCATCCCTGACACCTTTAACATGGATGGGCAAATTGCATTGTACGACACAGTATTCCTTCCCATGAAGTCACATATGATTTTAATCAGTTGTCAAAAATATAAACTGACCTGATCAGTGCAAAAACGGTCTCACAAGAGGTGTAAACGGTCTCCAATAATGATCATTACTCACCTAATTTCCCCGAACACAGAGCCAGCTCTCAGAGTCACAAACACCGTGATCCCATCAGGCCCTCCAACCACCTGCACTTCTCCAGCTTTGATGATGTACATCTCTCGACCGATCTCACCCTGACCACCAGAGCCGAGCGAACAAGAGTCAGTTCAAAACGCTAGATAAAAGGCTCTTTCATGGTGGCTGTTTGATGTGACCTTTACTAAGACAACCATCAAATATATGGCCATATACTGAGATATTTTAGGTTTTAAAATGTTTTTGTAAGCCAGTAGCAAAGCACATATACAGCACAGTGAAAAAAGAAAGAAGAAAAGTGCCGTATTACTTACTTTTTTACAAACAAAATCTCCAGGAAGGTACACCACAGATTTCAGCCTGTTGAGCATGTCAAATATCATCTGTCTGTCACATCCCTGGAATGAACAGGAGTCAAAGACTTTAATATTAACAACAGCTTTCACAACCCGGTCAATGAGAAACAAAATGAGTTAATCCATTGGGAACTGATTGGATGGTGAGAAGTGATCTCTATATAACAGATGTTTGGAGAGGAGGAGTTTCAGAGGTGGAGCAAGTTATTACATTTGATAAAAAATCATTTTACATTTTATCTAAAAAGATAAAAAAAAAATTGAATGGTAAAATGTGTACAAGGACAGGGTACGTTCTCAGAAATTTGGCACGGTTCTCTCAAAGTTATAAACAAGCTCTTCTAGTAACGTTAATAGAACATTCGTTCAGAGTTATATGGCATTTAATAATGTTCTAAACATTTTAGCTCAAATACATACAGCATATATATATATATATATATATATATATATATATATAAATATATATATTTTTTTTTCTGAACCGCTTTAGTTGGAGGTTCGTCTAACATTTATATAAATGTTTCTACTTTTTTCAGAATGTTCAGAAAGCATTCAAAAGTAACATTCCTATAATATTTTCTAAATTATTAAACTGAATATTCCCTTAATGTTCGCATAATGAAGTTAAACGTTTTTGAAACATTTAAAAATCTGGACATTTTGAACGTTCAGAGAACATTCAGAAATAACATTTTCATAACTTAATGCGAACGTTAGCTAAATGTTCTTAGAACATATATTGTTAGCTTGTGTGTATTAAGAAAGTAATAGTAGAGGTGATCTATATACATAGATCTATATACATTTATATAGATGGGTTTAACAATATGTAGATATGGATCGTTGCAGCAATCAAATGACTAACGATATGATGAATTGACGCAATGCATTCATTATTTATTTTTCTATATTATTTTATATAATTTTAAAAACTATAGTGTATTCTTTGTTGTGGATATCCCTATTTGGATACAGTATTCAGTTAAATGTTCATGTTATTTTGGATGCATTTGTAAGTTAATTCAAATGTAACCAGTTGTTTAAAATAGGCACATAATATTGTAATACTGATCGCTAGGGGTGTAACGATACACAAACCTGACGGTTCGGTTCGTCCCACGGTTTTGAGGTCTCGGTTCGGTTCTGTTCATTTCGGTGGGGTGGGGTGGGGGGGGGGGGGGGGGGGGGGGTTAGAAAGCTAAAATTGCTTTTATTTTTTATTAAACAGTGCTTTAATGAACAAATTGTGTCCTTGTCTTTAAATTAATTCAATTACAAGTAAACGTTTCTCAAGGATAACAAAATGATCTGCTAATGCTGTAAACTACAGCCCTTACTTGCACATTACTATAACATTAAAGCTTAACAACAGAGCCTACTTTTAGCCTAAATGATATAATAATAATCAACACTCAAATAACAAATTGTATGAAAACATGTAAACTGCACATAAGGCAATTTTTGCATTAACATGTTTTTACTCTAATTTGTTATTGTTATATAATAATTTACACAGTTGCTGTTATTTTCATGACAACTATTTTAAACATACATTAAATAATCAAGATATCATAAACAGGTTAAGTAAAATATAATATATAGGCTAATATATAGCATTTATTTAGTGAAAGAGTTAGCAAACCAGCAAGCTGTGGACACTGAATGACTTGCCTGAGGTAAATATAAAGCTATGTGAAAAACTAAGCGTTTTATTGACGTATTTCCGCTGTTGAAACACTGATTGAGTGTTTACACGAGTTATGATGCCTTTCAGTAAGTATACTGTATCTTTCAACATACCTTCGGGTGTCCATTCATGTTTATTCTGTAACTGAGGAAGAGATGATCGCGCTCCGCGCTGCCGCATGCATACAATGATATCTGTCACGCCACATCTAAGAGCGCCAAAACGGCATTTATTGTTTGCATTTCGTGATCAAATAGACATAATTTGAAAGATTACACCTTGCTTATTATCAAAAGTAACAAAACACTGAGCTTATTGCGATTATATGTGGTTAATGGTGGTTAGGCAACAGCCCTGTATTCGTTGTGTACACATAACGCATGAGGTGCAATGAGCCGGGGCTGGGCGGGGCAGCAGGGGGCGGGGCGTGTTCGGTTCGCCATGAGAGTATCGCGATACGTATCGTGGGTGGTGTATCGCGGTTTTTCGGTTCGGTTCAAATATCGTTACACCCCTACTGATCGCAGGCCCCTGAATATAATCGAATCGTAATCGTATCAAAGGATGTTTTGATAAAATATCGTATGGCTGGCTAAGAGAATAAATGTCAGATTGTATTGAGATCTGATTTACAACACTAGTAAATTGGGTGAATTAGATTTCAAGTTGAATGTAGGTCTATGGCCCCTGCTTAAAAAAACCCAGCTAAAATCTGGTACATTTGTATTTAGTCATTTATGGTCATTAGCTGGACCAAGCTGGTGTACATGGTTAGTCGGCTGGACAACCAGTCGGTGTAGCTTCAACCTAGTAGTCATCTTGGTCAAGCTGGTTAGAGCTAGTAGACCACTATGGACCAGCAACAAACCAGCTTGACCACTTTAAACAGGAATAATCTGTTTTTCTAGCGGTGCTGAATCAGACTTTGTCATTCTCTGTGTGTGTTCATGAAAGAAAGATTAGAGTGAATGAGGTAATAGATACTCACCTGAAAGAGCGCCACTTTACTGACAATGCTGTAGTTTACGTCTGCCGCGATGTCCAGACGCATCTTATCTGGAAGCTGTACAAGTAACTCTTGTTCATCTGAAGACAAACGGATCATAAAACACAGCCAAAACATACTTGACACATTTAAAGGTCCAGTGCAATCGGATTCTGCTTACCCAGCATGCCTTGCGACTTCCAGGTGTAGTCGTACCAGGTCTTCACTCGGTTCTGGACCTCGCGGGGGATCTTGTAGGAGCTCATGTATTTGACGGTGCTGTCCACACAGCTTCTGTAGTACGCCTCACCTGCAGTGGCGGCTCCGACTACATCTCTCATCTGTGAATACACACACAACACAGAGATTTGATGTTTTTTTTTATTTTAAGTTTTCTGTTGATGATATGAAAAATAGCCATATTAAACTAGAAGGTGGATTTCACAAAAACATGTCTAGGATGTATTTCAGCTTAAAATTAGCATGAAGACAAATAATAATTAGTCAAATAATATGGACGATTCATTTTTTTCTCCTTAGATTATTTTAGTATTAATAATTTAATAATTATTTTTGTCTTTATATTCACTGTTTTCCTTTTAGTTGTATTAAGTTTTATTTTCAATTTTGTTGTGTGTTTTTGTTATTTTAATTCGTTTTGTGTAATACTGTTATAGTTTTATTAATTTTTATTTCAGTTTTAGATATTTTAGTACATCAATTTAACTAAATGGAAATGAGAAATGCTGCCTTGGCAATTGTCTGAAATTTAATTTTAATGGTTTATTTTATTTCAGTTAAAGTTCATTTTATCCAAGTATCGAAAGTTTTTTTTATGGTTTTAGTTGGAGTTAACTATAATAACGCTGATTAGATAGCCTAATACAATAATCTGCAATCGTACATGAAGTATAAATTGTATAAAAATGCATTTAATGAGATTTTTTACGAATTGTGAAAATAATGAAAATATTTTTACTTTATGGTCTTAAAATCAGTCATATACTTTACGCAGAATAAAAACATAATTTCTTTGTCCTTTCTTTTGACTTTGGAATGAAATATTGTGAACTGAACTGAGCTGGAAGATGACAACACTGTTTTCTCCAAAGTGGCTATATACACAGTATATATATAAATTAATTAATAACTTTTTACAAAAATGAACCAAAATTTGTTGCATTATTTTCACTGTAAAGCTGCTTTGAAACAATCTGTATTGCAAAAAGCGCTATATAAATAAAGGTGACGACTTAATTTGACTTTGGAGTGAAATATTGTCACGAATGCTTTTTGTTTAGTTTCTTTGTTCCCATTTTCCTTAGTTCCTTGTTAATATCCCTGGTTCTTGATTAGTCAACACCTGTTCGGTTTCAGTCAATCATCCTCTGTGTTTATACGCCCTCCGCTTCCTGTTTCACTGTCTGGTATTGTGTGAGAAGAAGTGGTTGTGTTTAGTTTACTGTTTCTCCAGCTATCTCCAGAGTTTTCTTGTTGTTGTGGATTTATTGATAAAAGACTATTTTTGTTTCTCTTCTCCTTCATTGTGCGCATCATTACAGCCACCGTGACAAATATGACCTTGACATGTTTTTGACAACGAGTGAGATTCACCCAGAAGTTCTGTCATGTATGTCTCCCACCTGACCGATCATGATGGAGAAAGCAAAGACTCCCACGAAGTAGTTGACCAGTTGAAAGACGATTTCAAAGACAGTGGTGGGATCAGGCAAACCCCCGATGGTGATCAGAGTCTTCACAGCAAAGTAGTAGCAGCGAATATAACTGTGGGACACAAACACCGACTCGTTATTTTACATTATCTACACTGTGCACAACACACCACTCAGTAAAGCATTGAGATGGATGAGGTCACCTGTTTCCTTTGCCATTATAGACCCATTTAGTAGAACCCAGTCCTTCATAGTCAGATCCCCAATAGAAAATACAGGCATTACAGTGCAGAGAGTACAGCAGGTACGCACTCGTACGGATCACCCTGGAATCACACAGCAGTGATAATAAAATCTTCATTATTTAAAAGGTATTCGCTTTGTGTTATGGTGACCTCTAGCTGTGGCGTCTGGTCGTACCTGTAAATGTATGCTTTGCTCATCACAGCCTCCAGACGATCATTAAACTCAAAGAATGCATTGTACTGCAAAATGGACACAGAATAAGTGTAAGTATAGGGTTGTGTGTGACAGTGGGAAGAGATTATGGACGGCATGTTTTTCTTTTACCTTTAGAAGGCGAGGAAACCGCAAGAGTGATTTGACTCCCGTGAAGACGTACAGGACATCCAGTGGAAAGAGACTGATCACATCCATCTGAAACATCCAGCATGCACTGAAGGTTAGGATGCTGTTTTAATAACACACTGAAGTTATTTGTTCAGTGTCAATGCATAGATTTAGTAGAAAATAAAGAGTTTTACCTTAAATCGCTCTGTTTGCAAGTAGTTCTCTCTCATGTCTTTTTTGTCACACTTAGAAAGACAAAACATAAAACAGGCAAACATCAACAAAGCAAAGGAAACAGTGGCCTATGAATGTCATTGCATTAGACAACAAAATATTAAACCTAGTGACGTTTATTTAAAAAAAACCCAGAGCAAGAACAATTTCAAGCAAAACAATTATCAAAAAGAAATTAGTTCGGTTGAAATCATTAAACTATGGAAGCTTACGCCACTGAATAAAATAAAGATGATCATTTCTTGCAATTGTGAGTTAATATCTCGCAATACTGACTATTTCCTCAGAATTTCGAGTTTATATCCCGCAATTCTGACTTTATTTCTCAGAATTGTGAGATATAACTCCCTGAGAAACGACTGAGAAAAAAACCCCTCACGATTCTGACTTTATTTCTCAGAATTTGCCAGAGGTTCCCTCAAGTTTTAATAAAGCTTTTTTTTTTTTTTATTAATTTATGAGTAAAATAAGGTCGGTGGTATTTAGGGATTTAAGGGCCTACTAACAGGATTTCTGTTTTGTCAGTATTCAGTTTTAAGAAGTTTTGACCACACTTTGAGATCTAGTAGACAGGAAGTGATGGAAGGGAAAGGGGAAGCAGTATTAGGCTGAAAGATAAGATAGATTTGGTGTATCATCAGAGTAACCATGGAAATGAAGACCATGACACTGGATGATCTGACCAAGAGGAAGCATTTAGATTAGAAATAGAAGTGGACCAAGAACGGATCCTTGAGGTATACCATAGATTTTTATTTTTTATTTTTAAGTTAAACAAGTTTTTTTTTTGTGTGAAAAATGTCAGCTCACAATTCTGATTTTTTTTTTGCAATTCTATTTTTATAACTTGAAATTGCAGTTTATAGACAGCATTTTTTCCCCCAGATATTCAGATGTAAGGTTTAAACTCGCAACTATAAAGTTCGAATTGCGAGATATAAACTCGCAACTCTGAGAAATTTTTTAAGAATTGTGAGATATACTCTAAACTCACAATTGCGAGGAAAAAAAGGCAGAACTGTGAGATAAAAAGTCGCAATTACCTTTTTAACTTTTTTTATTTATTCCGTGGCGGAAACAAGCTTTCATAGAAAACAATAGATATGCTGTTCAAAACTCTTGCTCACCACAATGTCCCCTCCTCTCACAAACTGCAGTCTGGGCTGAAAGACCACGATGTCAAGAATGTAAATGGCGTCACAGAGGTAGTCCATCAGCAGCCACCAGTGAACGTTCTCAGAGTTCTGATACGGGAAAGTGCAGCGCACAGGGATCAGCCAAACATTCCAGTTCCACGCAAACGTCACAAAGAACAGCCACACCACGTAGATCAAATCTGTGAAAGAATCATAGTTGCATCTTCAGTATGTCGTTTTAAAGAGGTCATATCATACAGTAACTGTTTCTAATATTTTTTTTATTAAGTCCACTTAATAATTAATATCCATTGAGGAAGAAAGTGTGCTTAATTTTTAATATTGAATGTGAAAAAAAACTGTACTTGCAGATAATATAGGATTATTGAAATAAAAGGCCACATAAGTGTACTTAAAGGGGTCATGAACTGGCTTTTTAAATTGTTTTATATTGTTGTCTGAGGTCAACTTATGACGTTCGCTTGGTTTTTACATTCAAAAACATCAAAATGAATAAGTAATAGGCTATTTTCTACCCTAGTTTTGAGCCTAGCTCAAAAACGCTTGGTTTTTATGGGCGTCTCGCATTGAAGACTTGGAAGTAAACGCCCACTGCTGTGAGTGGATAACAGTTTTGCATATTATAATGAGTTTCGTGTAATGCGCGAATCGATGGGCGGGGCTAAACCGTTCGTGTTGAAGTAGGCGTTGATCTTCTTCTGCGGGGGTGGTGTTCTCTTACGAGAGTATCTCTCGTACTGCGTAATAGCTTACGCTAGGGGAAAAACTCTTTTCCGCGAGATATTGAAGCCAAAAATTATCCTTAATTTTTTATTAATGTAAAACGCTTTGCAGCAGCAAGCAGACATAGGCGAAACAGCTCGCGCGCCTATTGGTTGCTCTGCAGCAAATGCAGCAGCCTATCGAGAGAGACTCTGCGTGACGTAATGACCAATGGGGGCAATTCGCGCCCATATCATCACGTCCCGCCAGAAGGGGCGTGGTCTCACCCTATAAATATGCTCGTTAGGCTGATACAAGCTGATTTTTACCTCTTCAGCGAAGCACACGCATCGCTGGATCCGGAGTGAGAAGCCGCGCCGTCGAAGCAAGCCTTTCAGCGGGACGAGCTCTGGAGTCGCTGGCCTCGCCGCCTTCAACTGCCGTACCTGCTGCGCTTTCCGGCGTTCTATATCCTTTCATACTCTGTGTGTATTTACTCTGTTGAGAGTGTTTGCTCGCTTACTTGACGCGACTCACACTTCTCTCACAAAAGAGCTGCGTCTTTTTAAAGATGCCTTCCTGTGGCTCGTGCCGCGCCCCGCTCAGCGATGGAGACCGGCACGTCATCTGTGTTTCCTGCCTGGGTGAGGATCACGCGGCTCTCGCGCTCGCTGACGGCGGATGCCCTCATTGCGAGCTTTTGCCCATGGTGACTCTGAGGACTCGCCTGGCATCATTCTCCGAGCCTTCACCGCAGCCCGCCGTGGTGCCGCGCCGCGCCCAGCGCGCTCCCGAGCTTTCTCCAGCCCGCCAAAGCTCGCCGGTTCGCCCGCCAGCTTCGCCGGCTTCGCTCGAGTCGCTCACTGACGGACAACGGCCGCCACCTGCCGCCGCGTCCATCCACGAGTTTGACGAACCCACCGAGGCGTGTTCTCTTCTGGCATCCGATAGTGAGGATTGGGCGAGCTCCGTGGATCTCCCCTCCGCTAGCGTTTCCCGCCAGACCACTGGTAAGAGAGCCGGCATTGAGACTGAGCTGATGCGTCTGCTCTCTCAGACCGTGGAAAGCATCGGCCTCGATTGGGAGGCGCCCGCGCAACCGCCACGCAACAGGCGAGCTCTGTGGACCTCCGCCTTCTGTCCGCGAGTCGTCAAGGTAACGGGCCAGCATCAAGACCGCGAGCCCTAAAAACCGCGGCTAGCTTTCTTTGCGTTATAAGAAATCTACCCCGCCCCCCATGGGCGTGCGTCACCGGCAAATGAGAAAAGAGTGTGTTTTAGTCCCCGCCGAGGCCGGATTAATCTCCATTTCTCAAACATTTCTCAGCTCCTAGTTTGAGCGGCTGAAAATGTCATTATTGCAGCAATGAGCCTGTTGTATAACACGCACACCTGCATACAAACGCCGACACACACAAAACTGTGATGACGCTCTCTTATCTGCTTACGCTAGTGTAGATCTCCCTGTGGCCCAGTGGCGGAACCTGAAGCTTTCACGCGAGAGACCCGTGTTCGATCCCGGCTCTCGCAGCAGATAAAAATGTAGTCTCGCCGCGGCCAGACTTCCACCGAAACTTTTCGCTCGTTCAGTTCCAGAAAATGCGACTGTTCCAGTGTATTTTGCAGTAAACAAGCTGGTACCACGGCCCGCTTGCCTGCACATAAAGGCCGTTTCCATGGCGACCCAGAAAAATCATGTAATCATTGTATTTCTGGTTTTCCGGCCACAGCCGATGGTGTTATAAGTGTAATAAAATGCTCACAGCCCAGTGTTCATTTCTACACACAAACACAGCCCGCCACGGTACAGGGCTCGCACAAATGAAATCGACGCATGTCAATTGTGCATTAAATGTAGTGAATGTGCCCACAACCCAGTGCCCACAAACACTACCACGGTTTCTGTAAAACGAAACCAACACAAGTCTTCCTAGCCTCCTAGGAAATCGACGGTGTTTCAGTCTCGCCGTGGCCAGACTTCCACTGAAATTTTCGCTCGTTCAGTTCCAGAAAATGTGACTGTTCCAGTGTATTTTGCAGTAAGCAAGCCAGTACCATGCCCGCTTGCCTGCACACAAATGCTGTTCCCACGGCGACCCAGATAAATCACATAAATGGTGTATTTTCTGGTATTCCGGCCGATGGTGTTATGAGTGTATTGAAAATGCCTACAACCCAGGGCTCATTTCTACACACAAACACAGCCCGCAAAAATGCAGGGCTCGCACAAACAATCCGGCCACGGCCGATGGTGTTATGAGTGTTGTAAGAATGCCCACCCAGTGCCCATTCCCACACCCAGACACAGCCCGCCACGGTGCAGGGCTAGCACAAATTAAATCGACTCAGGTCAATTGTGCAAACAATGTAGTAAGCCCATGTCACCATGCCCGCTCACACTACATGCTGCGTGTCCCTTGGTTTCTGTAAAAACGAAACCAACACACATTCAGTCGGCCATGAACGACAGTGTTTTCAGTGTAATAAATGTGCCCGCAGCCCCGCGCCCACATTTTCTCACAGACACACCGATTCCTACGGGATCTCCCCCGCTCGCTTTTTCTGCACAATCTGCCATAAAAAAGCTGAGCGCGGTCAGGCCGCCCGCCGTGATCAGCGCGCCCCCCGCCTCGAACGCTGTAAACACGGTGTTGTGTTCCCAGTATGCCCGGGTTCTCGAGCTGCCGTTTTGCCGCGACCAGAGCCCGGATTTCATTCTGCCCCTAGCTATTCACGCAAATGCGTGGTCAAAGCTTCCCGGGGTATCAGAATGGGTGCTGAACACTATAAAGAGAGGCTATTCGCTACAATTCGCTCGACGCCCGCGCGTGTCGAAACTACGGTGAAAAACGAGGTGTCTCATCTACTTCGTGCCGAGATAGCGAAACTACTGAGCAAAGGGGCTATCGAACCTTTATCTCAGGCTCAGAGCGAAGGGGGCCTATACAGCAGATATTTTCTGGTGCCGAAAAAGGATGGGGGTCTCAGACCCATTTTAGATCTACGACAGCTGAACAGAGTGCTTGTCAAACGCCAGTTCAGAATGCTTACGACCAGGAAAATCCTCGCGCAATTGCGCCACGGAGACTGGTTTATGTCGATAGATCTGAAAGACGCCTATTTCCAAATACAAATAGCGTCCCATCACAGGCGATTCTTGAGATTCACCTTCGGGGGCCAGGCATATCAATACACAGTTCTGCCGTTCGGCCTGTCCCTAGCACCTCGTACATTTACGAAGTGCATGGACGCGGCACTCGCACCCCTGAGACTTCAGGGCATGCGAGTCCTGAACTACTTGGACGATTGGCTGATTCTAGCTCGATCACGATCGGAGCTCATAGAACACAGGGCCGCATTACTCGAGCACCTCGAGGAGCGGGGCCTCACAGTCAATTGGGCGAAGAGCTCACTGTCTCCCAGTCAGAAAATTTCCTTTCTGGGAACCGTGTTGGACTCGCTGTCCATGACAGCACGCCTGTCACCAGAGCGCGTGCTAAATATTCAGCGCGGCGTGAAATCCTTCCGCCACGGCGCGATAGTTCCGCTCAAAAGGTTTCAGAAAATGCTGGGGCTGATGGCCTCAGCAGCCTCTGTACTCCAGTTGGGCTTGCTCCGCATGCGCCCACTGCAGATGTGGCTGAAAGCGCGGGTTCCACCCAGGGCATGAACAGCGGGTCTGTTTCGCCTCAGGGTCGACCTTCAGTGTGTTTCAGCTCTGGAACCTTGGAAAAATACCGACTGGTATCAGTCAGGTGTGAGTCTGGGGACCGCTTCGAGTGTGAAGGTGGTGTCTACGGACGCCTCCACCTCGGGGTGGGGAGCGCTGCTCGAGGGCAGACCGCCTGTGCTGGCCTGTGGTCAGAACGGGAAAAGCTCCTTCACATAAACTGCTTGGAGATGATAGCAGTCGACAAAGCGCTACAGCGTTTTTGTCCCCAGGTAACAGGCCACCACGTCTTGGTCCGGTCGGACAACATGTCAGTGGTGGCATACATAAATCGCCAGGGCGGCGTCAGGTCACAGAACCTTCACAGGCTGACGGAACGCCTCCTGGTCTGGGCTCAGCACAACCTGCTCTCACTGAGAGCAGCGCACGTGCCTGGTCACCTGAATGTGGGACCAGACAGACTGTCCAGGAACAATGTTCCAGCAGGGGAATGGTCGCTGCACCCGCAGACGGTCCAGCTGCTGTGGAAAACGTTCGGCAGAGCACAGGTGGACCTATTCGCGTCCCACGAAAACGCTCATTGCCCGGAGTTTTTCTCGAAAAGCAAGGACGCGCTGGCTCATGTTTGGCCCCGCTGCCCCCTATATGCTTTTCCTCCTGTCTCGCTCCTGCCTCAGGTGTTGGAACGAATCAGGGAGAACGGATGCCCAGTGCTGCTCGTAGCTCCGCTCTGGACAAACCAGACGTGGTTCCCTGCCCTGATGCAGCTGACCAGCACTGCCCCATGGCCTGTACCGTTGAGGAGAGGTGCCAAATCGAGCCCTCCTCTCTCAGGCGGAGGGCTCGATTTGGCACCCTCGCCCGGAGTTGTGGTCCCTGCACGCATGGGCCATCAACGGGTACCCGCTAGCCTCCCAGAAGGAGTGTTAAACACGATCGCGCAGGCTAGAGCTCCGTCTACCAGGCGGCTCTACTTCTCGAAATGGTCTGTTTTCTCTGCATGGTGTCAAGCCCAGAGCTTTTCACCTGTGGAATGCGGGGTTTCGGAAGTGCTTTCCTTCCTTCAAGAGCTACTGGATAAGGGCAGGACCCCATCCACGCTCAAAGTATATGTGGCGGCCATAGCAACGTTTGCAAAACCGGTGTCTGGCCAGTCGCTGGGGAAAAACGACTTAGTCGTGCGTTTCCTTAGGGGAGCTCGGAGGCTGAACCCTCCCAGGCCCCCTTCAGTCCCAACGTGGGACCTTTCCACGGTCCTGGAGGCCATGAAAGGCGCCCCGTTCGAGCCAATCCAGCTGGTGGACATGAAACACCTGTCGTTCAAACAGTGTTTCTCATGGCTCTCGCTTCAGTGAAGCGCATAGGGGACTTACAGGCGCTTTCAGTAAGCGCGTCGTGTATGGAGTTTGGGCCTAATGACTCGAAGGTCATTCTCAAACCAAAGCACGGGTATGTCCCGAAATCCCTCAATACACCGTTCAGGGCCCAGGTAATTTCCCTGTCCGCCCTTCCGGTTCTCAGTGAGGAGGAGGATGCGAGTCTCCTTTGCCCCGTCAGGGCATTGAGAGCTTATGTGTCACGCTCGTCTGTTTTCAGACAGACGGAGCAGCTTTTTGTTTTGTTTGGCGGGCGTTCCAAGGGACTCGCCGCCTCAAAACAGAGCCTATCCAGATGGATAGTGGATGCCATTGCGCTCGCTTACTCTGCGAAGGGCCTACAGTGCCCCTTGGGTGTCAGGGCGCACTCCACGAGAGGCGTGGCCTCTTCGTGGGCATGGTCAAGCGGGGTTTCCCTGCAAGATATCTGTACGGCCGCGGGCTGGGCCTCGCCGTCTACATTTATAAAATACTATAACCTGGAGGTACCCGCCTTACAAGCTAAGCTTTTGGCGGTCTAAAATTCAGTGCTATCTGCCCCGCTGTGCGGCCCAGATGCTGAGTTTATTGCAGCCCCATGAGTGTTGACACACGTATGGCCACCCAGATCAGGCTGAAAGCTTTCACCCTGGCTGCGCGTTTTATTGTCATATAATAGCCCCGCTGGGTGCTTTTTTATAGGGAATGACGCTTCCAGCCTCTCTTCCTCCACTCTATGTGAGTTTATGGTGATTATGCACTACATGAGCCCTGGGCTTCGGCCCCCGGGACTTTGGTGTTGGATCCCTGTACGCACGGCGTGTTGCATTGTGTTCCCCTAGCGTAAGCTATTACGCAGTACGAGAGATACTCTCGTAAGAGAACGTACTCGGTTACTAACGTAACCTCGGTTCTCTCTAGAGAGGGAACGAGTACTGCGTATCTTGCCGTGCTTGGAATACGCTCTGGTTCGCTTCAGTGATAAAAACCAGCTTGTATCAGCCTAACGAGCATATTTATAGGGTGAGACCACGCCCTTTCTGGCGGGACGTGACGATATGGGCGCGAATTGCCCCCATTGGTCATTACGTCACGCAGAGTCTCTCTCGATAGGCTGCTGCATTTGCTGCAGAGCAACCAATAGGCGCGCGAGCTGTTTCGCCTATGTCTGCTTGCTGCTGCAAAGCGTTTTACATTAATAAAAAATTAAGGATAATTTTTGGCTTCAATATCTCGCGGAAAAGAGTTTTTCCCCTAGCGTAAGCTATTACGCAGTACTCGTTCCCTCTCTAGAGAGAACCGAGGTTACGTTAGTAACCGAGTACGTTTTATCCTCTTTGTCGTCATAGTTCCCCACTTTGAAAAACGAGTCGTTTGCTGAACCTGGTGTCAATAAAAGCTTTTATTGGACTAAAAAGGACGTTTTCAGTTCTGAAACTTACAGGATATTCTTATAATATGATGACCTCTTAGATGTCAAAAGCTCAAGGAAAATTTGATTTCTCAGTTCATCACCCGTTTAATGTGTACAGTTTATTGAATGTTTCTTAGCACACTTAGACATTTAAAACTGCATATTGTAATGTCAAATTAAAAGTTTTATATATATTTAAAGCTGCTGTCCGTAGCTTTTTTGGGGTTAAAAATTATCCAAAATACATATTTGATAAAATACATAACCAGCCAGTGTTCAAAACTATCTGCTTGCCTTAGCTGGATGCAAAACGGTAAGCTTGTAATAATGTTTTTAATTTTAGTGGTACTGGTGGATTTCCGCGGGAGATTCGAGCATGTCTTTGCGTCATTACGTCACATCTGTACACATAAAGAAGGAGTCTCGGCTAGTATAAGCTATATTGCGTGTGAGGATGTTGGAGGTAGAGATTTATAGCCTTTTCTCACAGCACTTGATATAATTAAACTTATCAATTTGATGGCGGATCCAGAAAGGTTCAAACGACGATCATCATCAGTGACAACTAGAGACTCACCCGCTGTAAAATGCAAAAGACTTCGTTCGGGCTTCAGAGTGGCTACAGAAAAAAAGAGACTGCAACCGGACCCATGCGAAAACAAGGATAATATCGGAAGGACATTACATGATGTAGTCACGCAATGCTTGCTGACGTTGTTAACATTAACAATTAGAGAACATAGTATAGCTACTTTGCACGGTTTTGCGTGAAATGATAACTTATAAGCAATTGTTAGATTTAATCAGCGCGATTTACTGCAATGTCAGAACCAGAACAAAAGTGAATGTTTCTTACTAGTTCAGATGACATTTCCCGGTGAAAATTCTTATGTTGGTCATACTTACAAAAAGAATAATCTGTGATTCTGAATGACAATATCCACATCGGCGCGGTGACTGACAGCTGCACACTCTCCTCAAACATTGTGTTCATCCGCGCTGTGCCGTGTCGAGGGTGTTGAACTACAACCCACGTAAAGTTGATAATTCCGCGAATGACTGCAATTGCAGATTTCGAACAGAGATGGCGACAAAGAGGAAAAATGCCGGACTGCAGCTTTAAGTATATATTAGTTTACCATAAATGCTTTTCAGTACATTCGGCAGTACACAATAACATATAGTAATTATATGTAAGAAATTACATATAAAGATATACTTAAGCCCTACTTAAGTGGGTCAGAAAAGTTATCTTAAGTTCAACTAACTGCACTTAATATAAATTTAAACTATAATACATTTTCATTTAATTGTAAATAACATACAATTACTGTAACTGTCCAAAAACATTACATCCAATTTACACAAATATTCTTTTAAAGTATATTATTTCCAGAAGAAGTAATCTTTTTAAAAGTATGATGCAGTGTACTTCTTTTTCACAGTGGATTAGTAAAGGTAACGTTTTTGGTTCTTTGCTTTTATTATATTAAAAAAAAAGTAAATAAGGTAGTTTATTTCTATATTAATTATTAAAACAATGGACCATTGTGATCCATAGAGCGTAGATCTCACCTGTGAAGGGATCAATGCTGGACGGGAAACGGTACTCCAGTATAGCTCTCAGCCAATCAGGGATCTCGGGTATTTTCACCTGAGGAACTGGGAACTTGTATCCCATAAACTCATAGATTTGCACCTCCTCTTCAGCCTCCTCATCAGCTTCTTTATTTTCCTCAGGAGGAGGAGGAGGAGGAGGAGGAGGCGGGGCATCGGCAGGCTTTTTGGCAGGAGCTAGGGTTCAAATATCAAAGGTGAAGGAAGTATCTATCTTTGACCTTACATTACTGAACTAATACAGTCAAATAAAGAGTTAATACAAGTCGACTCACATGCTGTAGGGCTTTCCTCATCAGAGTCGTCTGGATCAGTCAGTTTGTCTCTTACACGAACTGTTCGCCCCTTAAACAGCTTGACCAGCTCCTGCAGTCGCTCATTCACAACCATACTTGTTTGACTGGCCGCAGACATGGGCCGCTCAAGGCCTCTACAGGAAATGACAACATATTGGAGAAAGTCATGCCACATAGTTTATCAATTATATATTTTTTGAGTCTAAGCAATGGTTTTGAGACAGAAACTCCCCAAAAGTCAAATATTTGTCTTTTTAAAGACTCACTCGGCCACATTGAGTAGATCAGTCGTGTTCGGATCCATTCGACTGTCTTCCTCTTCCTCAGCAGGAGCCGTCTCCTCCTCTGGCAGATTTGTTACAGTGACAGTGAGGGTCATTGAGTCTGACTCTGGTGCGACAATGATTTTGGGAACGGACATTTCTCCATCCTTCACTTCCTCTACCATCACTGCTGGCTTCACATGGCTGCTTTCTGAGAGCACACACACAATGAAATATTAGCGTTGAAATCTTAAAAAACATTATTTGTGCACGTAAAATGTATATTTAGAGATGAACAAACTATGACCAGATACTCCAGAAAGAAACACATAAAATGATCAAAAATATTACAGCATTGAATCACTGAGTGGAACATTCACATTCTTTCAAATAGTAAACTGAATACAGAACCAACTAAATATTAATAACTGATTAAGTTGTAGTCAATGTATGCTTTTTCCTCTGAGCTTTTTGTGTTTGTATAAAATTGTTTTTGCATAGTAAAATGAAACTTGTAGCTGTAGTTTGGTAAATATTTTTCTCATATTTTGATGGTTTAATCAAATTGTAGTCTCTCTCTCTCTCTCTCTCTATATATATATATATATATATATATATATATATATATATAAACAGATTATTGTGTCAATACTAGTAAAAATATATATATTAAATAAAGTGTTATATAATGTTTTTAGTCTTTCCTTCCTGTGACCGGGCTTGCCAGACAGAAGTTACAAGAGTTTATGCTCAATTATGTCAGATAAAGTTTATTGTGTAAAATGACCAAAATACCAACAATAAAAAAAAAAAAAAACTTTAAGCATAGTGTGGGACTTATATCAGGACTCTTATTATGAAATGTATATTCAAAAAGATGAAGGACCTTAAATTTCATAACACTGATACTTTTAGACTTTTTAAGGACTTTTGGGGACTTTTTAATTCGCACATGTGCTCCGAAAAAACATTTTACAGCTTGGACACATCTATGCGAGTCACAAATGCGAGTGAATTTCCCCAGGGGCTCAACACAGGAGCAGTCAAAGTCTGAACACTGTCAGTATAATCTAAGGGGTTTTTCACCCATTTTATTATCCACCAGGCAAAAACACACTCTACATGCAAGTAACAGCACACGTCTCCTCAATTGGCTGCAAGATGTGAGCTAATATTCAATGTCAATAGCAAACAATAACAGTGGTAACAATAACATTATCAAAAATCAATGGCACAGAACAGACAGCACAGCGCTATCTAGCACAGTCAGTTCACCTGAGAGATTGTTGAAGGTTTGGTGTCTTTCTGTAACTGTAGGGCACTTGAAAACCGTGTCTATGGGTGTCAAGTATGGGATGGTCTGGATTTTAGGGCACTTTTATATGGGATGACAGTGAGACTCTTGGGTATTTTAAGAAGTAAATCCACTAGCTACAGATTCTAACTCAAAGACTACATGCTGCTGCTGAGGCGGTCTACATGGGCTTGAGGATGTTGAGGCGATGGAGGACGTTCTGGAAGCACTGGTTGGCTTGTTTTGGAAGCTGGGATATCTCCTGGTACAGCAGCAGGAGATCAGAGGGCATCTCGGGCAAGGGGACATTATTGTTTTTCAGCAGATGGAAGTTGCTCAGACATGTGGAAGCATGCGGGATGCGAAGAAACCAGCTCTTTATGCCAGAACAGCTAGCGGGCACTGCAGATAGGTAGACCGGTTCAATTACTGGATGTTCATATTATCTGTCATTGGTTATGTACAAACTGGATCTCAACAGATACAGTTCATTTGATTAGATCTGCAGGACTAAATCTTCATGAAATCAACAGGACTTGATTTATCTATTTTATCATGTTTGCTGCTAGACCAATATGTTGAATTTATGCATGCTTGGATACAGTGTTGGGTGAGTTACACTAAAAAAGTAATTAATTACTAGTAGCTACTAAATACGGTACATCTTCAACAGTATAATTAGATTATTGTACTAATTATGCTCTCTAAAAAGTATTGCTTTACTTAATACTTTCTAAATCTCATATTAACATTGAGCAATTAAACAATACAAGAGTAAAGATTAAACTGCCCTTTTAATTCTTTCAAATAAATAATATGAAATTAAATATATTATTCTTGAATTGACCAAAGTATTTAAAGGGAGAAGGTTACATTAAAAACATACATTTTATCAATAGATGTGTAATCAATGTTACATTTTGATGTTAAATCCGTTATTGTTTCATATAGAATTGTTCTAAACACTATTTAATGCAATTACATCATAAGTAACCATAATTAAATTACAGAAAAATTAAGAGTAATCACTTAATAAATAACTGTAATTAATTCCTTAGAAATGCTTTACAGACAACACTGTTTGTACACTGACCTCCACATCCTTCTTCAGGAGGTTCCTCTTCCTGTAGCAACAGAAGATTAATAAAAGCAAACATGCATAAGACAGCAAAGAAAAATATGACCAAATCCACACGTCTAAATGTATATACAGCTGCCATTCAAAAGAATCACAATATCATTTTTATGTTTCTGAAAGATTGCATTTCATTGATTAAAAAAATACAGTAAATATTTATAACTGTACAAATGACTAATTCAAAATATCTGTTATAAGAATCCTCTACTTGCAGCAATGACAACTTGATTGCGCAATTGTGAGTTTACATTTCTGACATTCCTGACAGTTTGCCTTCCCGTAGCTCAAGCATGGCTCGATTCCCAGGAAAGTACTGTACCTTGAATGCATTGATGCAATTTAAGTCTGCAAAAAGCATTATATGTAAATGTATTTTTTTTTTTTGCCATTGTAAGCAGTATTCATTTCAAACAGTAAATTACCATATTTTAACAAAATAAGTTGCATAAGTTGCACTGGGTGAAAATGGCATTAATTTAGAGAGAGGGAAAAAAAACCCAGATACATTGCATCTGTCAACATTTATTATAATATTCAGTAAAAATGTGCTGGTAAATAAAACAAATCTTCCACAAACATTATAAATTCTGCAAACTATGGAAGCTTGTTTCCGCCACTGAATAAAAAATACATAAATAAATAATTGCGACTTTTTATCTCACAATTGCGAGATATGAAGTCAGAATTGTGAGAAATAAAGTCGCAATTGCAAGATATAAAGTCGCAATTATGAGAAATAAAGTCGCAATTGCGAGAAAAAAAGACAGAATTGCGACTTTTTATCTCACAATTCTGACTTTATAACACATAATTGCGAGTTTATATCTCGAAATTCTGACATCTTTTCTCAGAATATTTTATATAGTTTATATCTCACAATTCTGACTTTACAACATGCAATTGCGACTTTATATCACGCAATTCTGACTTTATAACACACAATTGTGATTTTATATCACACAATTCTGACTTAATATCTCGCAATTCTGACTTTATAACACGCAATTGCGACTTCATATCAATCAATTCTGACTTTATAACACGCAATTGCGATTTTATTAGGGATGCACGATATAGGATTTTGGCCGATATTTGATATGCCGATATTTTCAAACTAATTTTGCCCGATGCCGATACCGATATATTTGTATTTTTTTTAAGTGCAAAAAAAGCTTATTAAAGCTTCTATTAATGTTCTCAGTCAAGAGCAGTGAGTGATTTCCTCTGTGTTTTGTTGTTTTATTAACATTAACGGGATAGTTCTCCCAAAAATTTAAATTGTCATCATTTACTCTCTCAAGTTTCTTTCTTCTGTTGAAATTATAAAAGTTATTTGGAAGAATGTGGCTAACCAAACAGTTGCTGTACTCCAGTGACTTCCATAGTATATTTAAGCACAAGAAAGAAATGAATCCAGGTTTGAAACAACATTAGATAGACCGAATTTTTATTTCTGGGTGCAGTATCTCTTTAAAGACAAGCGGCAGAATATTTTTACTGTCTCTTTAAGAACTGCACGCGAGTAACGCGACGCGTCTAATATACACGCATTTGACAAGCAGATTTTCTCTGTTTGCTTTCACTTTAGACATAACCAACTTTATGTAAACCTTGTGTGTATTTGACAGTATCAGCGCAATAAGACTCGAAAGATTAGTCCAGTATGCAGGCGCTGTGACAGGCTTTTAGTTCCTGTGAGCGTCGGGTGTACGCGCTCAGAAAAGCGGATGTTAGAACAGCGCATCAGCACGTGAATGACATGTTTACCTAGCAAGACTTTGACGCACATGCAAACAATGAACTTTTGTGAATTGCGGTGTCCCGTGAGTGTAACTCTACCTCTGCGTTTACATGTGATGTGATGTGAATGTACGTCGCGTTGTACAGTATGTTGAGATGAAGGCGCCAGAATTGAACTGATAGAATGCACGTAGGGTTGCCAACCGTTCCGTATAATACGGAATCGTTCCGTATTTGACACATGAAAGGCTTGTTCCGTATTGAACTGATACGGAACGCACTTTGTTCCGTATTTTTGAGAATCAATTCAGTGCAAATCCATGACAGACGCATAGCTTCTATTATATATGTCAGACAGACTATGATGAATGAACGAAGACCCTTGGCGCCACCTTGACGGGCTCTGACGTGTAATGACGTAGAGTTGGCTCATTGGTCGCACGTCAGAGGCGCCCGCGCCATTGGATGTGCAGTTGCCGTAGCGCAGCCTATGAGCGAGCCAGACGCTCAATGTGCAAGCTGTGCAGCTGCAAATGCGTTTTACAGGCTTCAGTAAATCGAGTAAAATATGTTTCCGAAGACATTTGTAGGCTATGATAAAAAAAAAAAAAAATAATAAAAAAAAAAAAAAATTTGCACTGGAAAGAACATTCTAGAAGTCTAATTCTATTGATTAAGTTCGCACAAGGCTACAGAAAACGGTTGTGTTTATTTTTCTTCAAATGCAGTCTAAGCCGATGAGTTTCGAATGTTATATGTTGTTAAAAATAAAACGTATTATAATCTAAACAAAATACATGGTTCAATTTTGGCAAAATGATCATGATAGCCTTTATATATCTGTGTGTTTAAGTCTTGTATATTGATTAAGCCTACTTTGCTATTCTATAAATATATAGGCCTAATAAGTTGCATTATAATATGATATAAAATGTATGAATTTCAGGGATTAGTTTTCTAAACCCCCCCCCCCCCCCCCCCCCCCGAATTGCGAGATGTAAACTCGCAATTGTGAGAAAAAAAGTCAGAATTGTGAGAAAAAGTCGCAATTACCTTGTTTATTTTTCATTCTGTGGCGGAAACAAGCTTCCATAGCAAACATCACTCACTCCACAACAAAAACTTTAAATTGAACGGTATTCAGAACAGGAATGAAAAATAGGCTACTTGCCAATTATTGCTTTATATAAATTGCTTTGGAATATAAATCACAAAGAAAAACAAGGCGTATATTATGGAAAATATGGTAATGGCTGTTTTTGATCAATACAATATTAAACATCAATTCCTTTCAAAAACATAAAAATGTCCTCCCAACCTTCCGAATGGTAGTGTGCTAATATGTTTTACGCAGAGTTACCTGGTCAGCATCAGGAGGTACAGATGTGGCGCGCTCAGGCTGAGTGGTCACAGCTGGAGAGACCGTATCTGCTTGTAGCGGCGGTGGACTCTGAGGTGCCTGATCTGAAACCTCAGACTCGTGCGGCGAGGGCTCCGCCGGACAGATGTCCACCAGGCTCCTGAAAAGGGTGTGAGCAGGAGTCTAGCCATGACAACACAACCAGTCCATCACAAACATTCAGAGTCTGGTAAACCACCAATCACATCTGTAGCTGTTGACCAGATAAAACTCAAAGGAGCTGACGAGAACGTTTGATTGGATTATGGAAATCAACCCCTCTAACGGACAATCAGATTTGTACCAGAATGCTTTTAGGTCTGGCTGCTGTGAAAGTGAATTCATGATGTTATTTCAGGTCTTTCAAACGGATTAAGGTTAATGGAATAGCAACATTACTATTAATGCTATTTTAGATGCAGCTATCCATATGGACCACTGTAAATACAAAATGTCAATGCTATTCCATGCTAGATTATGCCGGTTCAGTGTTAAGTGTGGTATATAAGCTTGTTTCCTTCAAGGAATAAAAATTAAAAAGGTATAATTGGGACTTCTTATCTCACAATTCTGACTTTTTTTCTTGCAATTCGGACTGTATAATATAAACAAACTCGCGATTCGGACTATTTTTCTCACATTTACGAGTTTATAGCCTATCTCACAAATCTGACTTTATTTCCCAGACAGCAACATAGTGTCGGCCCAGATCCGGGCCACATCTGGTACATGTGGATTCAACGCGTACCAGATGTGGACTGGATCTGGGCCGACACTATTGCAATTTTAAGTTTATGACTCACAGTTCCGACGTTTTTCCTTGCAATTGCCGAGTCGCAATTCTTAGTTATAATGTTACAATGTAATCAAAACTCTACCAGCATGGTCTACAGCATTAATGTACAAAAATGGTCTGAAATGGTGTTGTAGAAGAATAGAAGCATATACTGTGCAAAATCTGTGTACACAAACTAATGTAGTCCAGTCTAACATACCTTTTTATGTCGACACTGTTTAGGGGATGTCAAGTTGGTTGCAAAATGTTGATAAAAAAGTGCACATTTCAGTTTTATTCAATGACTTTATGGCTTACTGAATTCAGCACTGCAGAATGCAGCAGCAGCAGGTCTGAAACTGTTCTACTTCTGCTGAAGTGCTTTGGCCTAAAAGCTTTTTTGGCATCAGCTGTTCTGGTTTTCAGACAGGATGTTTTATAGTGACGTGGTAAAGCAGGATGAAGCCAAAATTAAGCATCTGACATCATACCCAAAATAACACAAATGCTCAAAAGTGCAGTAGCACCTCATTGCAGTACACAAGATCCAGGGGGCGGAGTTGGATCCAGATCCAAGGGGTGGAGATGGGTAGGATTAGGGGTGGGGTTAGGGATCAGGGGGCGGAGATGGGTAGGATTAGGGGTGAGGTTAGGGATCAGGGGGCGGAGATGGGTAGGATTAGGGTTAAGGATCAGGGGGTGGAGATGGGTAGGATTAGGGGTGGGGTTAGGCTTCAGGGGGCGGAGATGGGTAGGTTTAGGGGTGGGGTTAGGGATCAGGGGGCGGAGATGGGTAGGATTAGGGGTGAGGTTAGGGATCAGGGGGTGGAGATGGGTAGGATTAGGGATCAGGGGGCGGAGATGGGTAGGATTAGGGGTGGGTTTAGGGATCAGGGGGCGGAGATGGGTAGGATTAGGTTAGGGATCAGGGGGTGGAGATGGGTAGGATTAGGGGTGGGGTTAGGGATCAGGGGGCGGAGATGGGTAGGATTAGGGGTGGGGTTAGGGATCAGGGGGCGGAGATGGGTAGGATTAGGGGTGGGGTTAGGGATCAGGGGTGGAGATAGGTAGGATTAGGGGTGGGGTTAGGGATCAGGGGGTGGAGATGGGTAGGATTAGGGGTGAGGTTAGGGATCGGGGGCTGAGATGGGTAGGATTAGGCCTGGGTTTAGGGATCGGGGGCGGAGATGGGTAGGATTAGGGCTGTGGTTAGGGATCAGGGGGCGGAGATGGGTAGGATTAGGGATCAGGGGGCGGGGATGGGTAGGATTAGGGGTGGGGTTAGGGATCAGGGGGCGGAGATGGGTAGGATTAGGGGTGAGGTTAGGGATCAGGGGGTGGAGATGGGTAGGATTAGGGATCAGGGGGCGGAGATGGGTAGGATTAGGGGTGGGGTTAGGGATCAGGGGGTGGAGATGGGTAGGATTAGGGGTGGGGTTAGGGATCAGGGGGCGGAGATGGGTAGGATTAGGGGTGGGGTTAGGGATCAGGGGGCGGAGATGGGTAGGATTAGGGGTGAGGTTAGGGATCAGGGGGTGGGTTAGGGTTAGGGATCAGGGGGTGGAGATGGGTAGGATTAGGGATCAGGGGGCGGAGATGGGTAGGATTAGGGGTGGGGTTAGGGATCAGGGGGGGGAGATGGGTAGGATTAGGGGTGGGGTTAGGGATCAGGGGGCGGAGATGGGTAGGATTAGGGGTGGGGTTAGGGATCAGGGGGCAGAGATAGGTAGGATTAGGGGTGGGGTTAGGGATCAGGGGGTGGAGATGGGTAGGATTAGGGGTGGGGTTAGGGATCAAGGGGTGGAGATGGGTAGGATTAGGGGTGAGGTTAGGGATCGGGGGCTGAGATGGGTAGGATTAGGGCTGGGTTTAGGGATCGGGGGCGGAGATGGGTAGGATTAGGGCTGGGGTTAGGGATCAGGGGGCGGAGATGGGTAGGATTAGGGGTGAGGTTAGGGATCAGGGGCGGAGATAGGTAGGTTTAGGTATATGTAAGGTGGGAGGAGTTGGATCTGGATCCAACTCCTCCCCCTGGATTTCGTGTTCTGCAGTGAGGACCATCTCCAAAAGTGGGACACTTCTGTATTTGTAACGGTTTGTCTTTTTAGAGACTGAAGCAGAATTCAGAAGAGGTTTGCTTTGATGTACTGTACAGTAATATATCTATATGGGCTAAATTGCTCTATTTTTTTTTTATCCTTATCTTTTTAATCTTAGTTTAAACAGCGCTGGGTGATAAACCAAATATTTAGCATATACTCACAAATATCTTGCATACTTTCACAACACACTACAGTGATCTTTATTTTTTGGCCATGCAGTTAAATTTTCCTATCTTGACTTCAAGATTTTTTATTTCATTTTATCAATATATAATCAATATATAATATTGCCAAGCCCTAAAAACAATATAAAACATTGCACAAATGTATGAAAGCTTCATACTTATTTCAGGTCTAGTTTTTAAGGAACTGCAAAGGCAGTGTGGGGAAACAAACAGCAGCTAAAGCATGAGCTGCAGCTTTGATGAAGTATGATGTGTCACAAACACACACACACACAGCTTGCCATCAGTGCAAGTGTTACAAGTAATGCCAAGCCTGCTAGCGCTTTGCTCAGCTCTGAGGATGAACGTCTTACTCTGTGATCTTACTATCCTCACTCTCCTCCTCACTCTCTTCATGAAACGGCTGTAACCTGTACGGCGAGCCGGAGAGGACAAACAGAACTTCAGCTGACACGCAGGATAATAAAGTAACGGCACAGCAGTAAAGAGAAGCAAGCAAAGAACTCGCATCCAATCAAATCGTGAGTTGTGACATTCACTCTGCCGTGAGGAAAGTTGCAGTACTGAAAGGTTGGAAGCAGGGTCCAAAATTATGTTTTTGTCACACATTTGAACGGCAAGTGAATTACTAGCCATGCATTTTTTATAAGAACATAAGAAATGTTTCTTGAACAGCAAATCATCATGATTTCTGAAGGATCATGTGACACTGAAGGAACTGGAGGAACTGACTGGAGGAATGATTCAGCTTTGATCACAGGAATAAATTACATTTTAAAATATATTACAATAGAAAACAGTTATTTAAAATAGTAATAATATAATATTACTGTTTTTACTGTATATTTGATCAAATAAGTGAAGCCTTTTTGAGCATAATAATCTTTTTTTTTTTTTTTACTTTTGCCAAACTTTAACAGTCGTGTATATTTGGTTGGTTTAATGCAAGGAATATACACATGTTTGTTTTGCATTGACGTAAAAGAGAGTAGTAGACGTTTTGAATGTAATAACGATAAATGATCACAAAGCTAATAGAAATGGACTAAAAGCTACACTAAAACTATAATTCCAGGCCAAAGACTGCTGTTATTCGTTTTTGTTGTTTGGCCAATGTTCATTTTGGACCCTGGCAGAAAGCAAGGAGCAACAGCGAAAAGGGGAGAGTGACACTTACTCTGGGTCTTCTTCATTCTCTTCCTCCTGGATATTTGGCAGTCTTTGTAAAACAAACAGTGAACAGGTGAATTCTGAACACTGAAAGTGTGTTTGTGTGTGAGAGAGATCAAGGAATAGTTTGAAAGATGGAGAGAGACAGCGCATTGGTCGCATAAAAGTTTTGTAGCCACTTTGTGGTTTATCACACCCCAGATCTCAGTCTTAACAAACACAGAACAGGGCAGGAAGGGTGTAACACAGTCACTGAATTCCTTACTGAGTTTGTGGTGTGTTTGTCACTTACTGATCCGCATGGTCTGGTTCTTCGTTTGTCGTATTAATGATGATATGTGTGGTGTGCTCTTCTGCCAGCTGTCTGACGGCCAATTCTGCAGCCTGTAGGGCCAGATCCTCCGCCATGCGAGCTGCCTCCACGCGTTCCTGCTCCAGTCTACACACATACACACATTTGTTTCACTATATAAGTGAGGATATTGCATAGACTTCCACTGATTTTATACCAGGTTAGCTAATGATATTTTCTACACTGTAAAAAAAAAATCTGTTAAATTAACGGTAAAAAACTGGCAGGTGAGGTTGCAAAAAATTTACCGTAAAAAATACGGAAGCAACATGTTAGGTTTTACAGGCTTAACTTACATTTTCGGTAAAAAAAAACGTATTTCATTATCTGATATAATGTTAATTTACCGATCTATTGAAGTACTAATATCTGTTTTGTACCATTGTAATACACTGACAACCACCAATCACAGTTGTAATGAGAGTCACATGATGAATCAATGCTCATAACAAACAAACAGCTTTTCCATAAGCTGAGAAAGTTAATATTAATGTATAAAAGCTGCACAGTGTCATTCACACAAACACTTAAACACCATCATTGTAACACACATGAAATCTAAAAAAATGTAATATTTAACAATATTAAATGTAACATAAAACCCTAATGTACATAACTGATTAGAAAAAAAAACTAAGAAAAGCTATTAAGAAACAGTTATTTCAACAAAAATACATCAAATGTGACGTGTCATGCATGGAATTGTGGGAATTTCAATTTACGTTTTTTTTACGACTTGTTCTTTTTCATTTCCAAAAACTGTAAATTTAACGGTATTTTACGGTAAAATGACATTAAATCAATGTATGGTTAGATCTATCACAGTTATTCACCGTATGTACAGAAACTTTCTGTTAACCAATTAACAGTTTTTCACGGTAGCATTTTTACAGGCTTTTACCGTTAAAATCACGATCATTTTTTTACAGTGTATGTGCTAACCTACACATCACAGAAACATGCGCAAAACACAAAATTTAAATATAAACCTGTTTTGGCCAATACATAAACTAGAAAAAAATGAAAAACACACATGCAGACCTTTCTATATTTTGTCTAAAGGTTAAAAAAACTGCTCCATGAGATTTTCCTGACTAATATTTCATACTGTATGTCAGACTTTACAGTGTTACATCTACCACAAGGTCACTGGGACCCAAACAATTCACACTCACCTCTCCTCTATGTTTGCTAAGGCAGTCTCCTCCGCTTCCTTCTTGATGCTCTCAATAAGAGGCGTCCAGCGCTCAGTCTGCGTCTCCGCGTCCTCCTGATCCTGCATGGCCAGCAAGTGTGGAAGGATGTTGGGTATCACCTGCAGCAGAGACGAGTTCTCCTGCTGCACCAGGACGTCCTGCCCCGAGCCCTGCTCCTTCTGCTGGGCATCCCAGTCTGAGTCCACCTCCTCCAGCACCATCTCACACGGGTCCTGCAGGATGCAGACTGCACCCGCAACAGGAAAGACCACAGGTCACAGCAGGGATTAGGCCCAAAGATGCTTTTGAATTTCATTTCTACCGAGTATCTTAGTGTTTTTGTGTCAATGCGTCACAATTGACATGGCTGAATTGAAATCGTGTGGAGTTACTTCCAGTGGAGAAAAAAAATGTGCATCATAGAAAGATCATCACATTGATCCCATTTGATTGGGTTGGGTCAATTGATTGGGTGATTTGATGGGGTTGATTGGGTCAATTGTCGGCTGGCCAAGCTGGGAGACCACCTGGCAGACCAGCTAAACCAGAGGTCTTCAACCCTGCTCCTTGCGACCCACTGTCCTGCAGAGTTCAACCCTAACCAAACTGAAGCAGGTTGATAATAAACTGCAGGGCAGTGGGTCTCCAGGAGCAGGGTTGAAGAACTCTGAGCTAAACAAAAGCTTGACCAGGCTAGGCCAATTAATACAGCTCAAACCAGTTTAGTCTGGTTTAACTGTTTGGTTTGATCATTTTGTTTTATTTAAATTATCAATGTTAGTTGCATTGACCGTCTGCATATCGTATTGAAAAGCAACACATTTTAGACCCCAATGGCTAAATTTGCACATTTTGTAAGCTGTAAGAACATTTTAAAAATCTAACTGATACTGCCGTACAAGAATCAGGGCTTGACATTAACATCGCCAAGATTTCACGTAAACACGGTCAGTTATGTTTTAAATGAACGTAAACAGTTGAGAAAGAAAACAAATGTGTAACGGTATAATGGATCAGTGCATTTGGTCTTAAAGTGACAGCATCCTAATATACCTACTGCCAAAATATGAGATAATATTAAAAATATCTAAATGGCAGTTTTCCCCCATCGTATCGATGTCAAAATTGTGGCCAGTGAAAATGCTGAGTGGCTAGTGACTTTGGAAAACTATACTAGCCACAGTGGCTTGAGCAAAAAAGTTAATGTCAAGCCCGGCGTACAATATATGAAGTGTCGGGGTAACGCATTACAAGTAACACGAGTTACGTAATCAGATTACTTTTTTCAAGTAACTAGCAAAGTAACACATTACTTTTTAATTTACTACAAAATATCTGAGTTCCTTTTTTAAATAATTAATGCAAGTTACTGTGAACATGATGCTTATTGTAGCTCTAGACTAAATGTGAGCAGGGGTCCTGTCCCCATGATCTGTAAGTGCAGATGCGTTGTGTGCGCTGTGTGTGAACATGATGCTTATTGTAAATGTTGTAAATGTGAGCAGGGGTTTCTCACTCGCACAAAAACACTCGCACAAAAACAGATTCAGTATTCCTCAAAAAATTAATAAATACAGTCAAATGCAAACTCAGAATATTACGCAAACCTGCAATAATGAAATATGTTAAATTACACAAATATACTTTATATATTTAATCTCACCTTATTAACCAATGTCTTTGCTGTTGACCAATTCAACCATGCTAATAAGCATAAATGACTTTAGATAAACATTACATTTGTTTAATTTTTCTTCTCCTGCGTCCTGTTCTTCCGCAATCCAGAATGGCAGCACAGCTGAAAGGTTTGTTTGAGCTGCAGGCGTGAATTTGCATTTCCTTCAGCCTGAGGCTCATTCATTTCTTTCTTTTTTGGGTGAGAAAGGGCCTTTACATTGACCAAAAGTATAACTTTTATTAATTTATTTTTGATATTAAACGCCATATTGTAATGCATTACTTTTAACAGTAACTTTCCCCAACACTGCATATATGCCCTAAAGTGCTCAAATTTACTGATACAGAAATGCATTTTAAAAATGCATCAAACAATTTTAGCTATTTTATAATTCATCAAAGCTGCTGCAGTTGCAAATAATACAGAACAATTATACAGAACAATATTTTAGTTTTGCAAGCATTTCTGCTCTGACCACACAACAAACAATTTGCTTTTATAAGTCATTTATTTATTAGTGAATTCATACAGCGCACAAAGTAAGGTAGCTGCCTGTGCTGTGTTAGCAATAGCCTTTCACAATAAAACATAAACAGCAGCAATATACAGCATATTAATATTCCACCATGTTGCAGTGAAGCCTGGTGTTGATGAATCATGCACAGTGGCTTTGCTAACATGCTTAGCATGATAAAAAAAAACAGGTAATGGGTTGTTATTCAAAGCATTAGACTAACTGTTGCTTTTATAGCAGGCAATGTAGATATTGGCAAACGCATTAAGTGGCATGGAGATTTATGTTTTTTTTATTTATTTTTTATGGCAAGAATATTGGGTAAAATTGTGCTCCTTAAAAGGTTTTTAATGTTAAGTTTAATGGTTATATATTTATAGACAACTAAGTAAGTTTATTTCTTAAAAAAAAAAAGTGTGAACATTTTGGATTTGTAGTGCTTTTTAGGACTGGAATATCTGATCAATCAAAGGCAGACATATTGAATTCCCGGTTAGTGAGATTGATGGAGCAAAAACAGACACTTTACATCTAAAGCAGCAAATGGCATTGTAAACTCTTGACTGGGCACCTGTATGTTTACCGCATGTCTCCTTGAGGTAGCCAATGCACTAAATAATTAAAAGCCAGCAAGCAAAGAATCCCTGTAATATATTTAAAGGGATACTCCACTTCTTTTGGAAATAGGCTCATTTTACAACTCCCCCAGAGTTAAACTGTTGAGTTTTACCGTTTTTAAATCCATTCAGCCGATCTCCGGTTCTGGCGGTACCACTTTTAGCATAGCTTAGCATACATCATTGAAGTGGACAAGACCATTAGCATTTCTAAAAAAAAATGACCAAAGAGTTTCGATATTTTTCCTATTTAAAACTTGACTCTTCTGTAGTAACATCGTGCACTAAGACCGACGGAAAATGTAAAGTTGCGATTTTCTAGGCTGAAGCCCCGTTCACACCGCCAGCGATTTTGTCGCTACATGTCGCTAGTCTCTGTACTGTGAAGTCGCTTGTGGGCGTCCGTAGTGCTGTCGCTCTAATGTTATTGGTTGACTGCACGTCTGGCCATATCTATACAAAATGCCATCAGAAGTGACATATACAACTATATCATTTTAATTTGACTAGGAATTAGGCTCAAAAGAAACAGTATGCTGTTGGGAGAGTGTTTTTATATTACCACAGCAGTGTTCAGTGGATTAAATCATTTACTAGATTAACGATCGATCAATCAACAAATTAAACTCACTCATTCTGTCATAAATTACTAAAACGTCATTCGAATTTGACAAATAATCAATTTTCTTGTCCCTAATAGTCAACATAATGCAAGGGAAACTGTAAAATGATCTGCAGCAGTGCTAAACTTGCATCATAAAATTACAACACTCGAACTATAAATGTATATGAATTAAACTCACTGAGACTGTCGACAGTTTCTTTTCCATTCGTCATTTTATTATATCCATGTGTGTGGTTACAGTCAAATCATATAAAACAGTGAAATCTCCCTCTTCTGTCTTGCCTGCACTCGAGACGGTGACGTGAGCTCATGCGTGAGCTCCACTGAAAGTCTTCTTTCCTATTGGTTGTCGCTCGCGAAAATCGCTTCTCATTTGCATAAAGTTGAAAATTCTCAACTTTTGTCGCTTGTCTCTTGTCGCTTGACACGCCCACATTCTGTCGCCAACGGTCACTGTCGCTGGTGTCGCCGGATGTCGCCAGCGCTCCATTGAAATGAATGGGATCGTGTCGCTCTGTCGCTGCGTGTCGCTGGCGGTGTGAACTGGGCTTGACATGGCTAGGAACTATACTCTCATTCCTGCGTAATAATCAAGAAACTTTACTGCCGTACCATGAGTGCAGCAGGCGTAATGATATGACGCAGCGCCTGAAAATAGGCCACCTTCCGTCAACACAACGGAACTATTTTCAGGCGCTGCGTCATATCATTACGCCTGCTGCACTCATGGTACGGCAGTAAAGTTTCTTGATTATTACGCAGGAATGAGAGTATAGTTCCTAGCCATGTCAGCCTAGAAAATCGCAACTTTACATTTTCCGTCGGTCTTAGTGCACGATGTTACTACAGAAGAGTCAAGTTTTAAATAGGAAAAATATCGAAACTCTTTGGTCATTTTTTTTTTGAGAAATGCTAATGGTCTTGTCCACTTCAATGATGTATGCTAAGCTATGCTAAAAGTGGTACCGCCAGAACCGGAGATCGGCTGAATGGATTCAAAAACGGTAAAACTCAGTTTAACTCTGGGGGAGTTGTAAAATGAGCCTATTTCCAAAATAAGTGGAGTATCCCTTTAACATAAACCAAGGAAGTTTACATGAAAAAGCACATTCATTGGTGTTGTACGTTAGCTCTATTGAACTAGAGGATATTGATGTGTGTTTCTGTCTGAACATCTCTCGCTGTCTCTGTGTGGATGTAATGAGTCTCCCAGTCGTCTTCTCCTTATGTTTAGGGGGCTTTAACCACCTTCTCCCCTGAAACAGAAGGAGAAGAGGAGCTGAGTTAACACCTCCACCCTACAAATAAGCATTTTGAGACAATAGCAATGCCTCTGATATGTTCAAATATAATCTTGGAGGACAAAAAAAAACCCCTGTCCTGCAAAACTGTCTGAAGTCATTATACCTATTATATGTGTGTGTGTGTGTGTGTTTGTGAAGATGTGTTAAACAACTTACCGTTTTGAACGATATCAGAACTGTCCTGCAAATAAACAAAGGAAAAGGGTAAATGGAAGACTAGTAGTGAAATTTCTTTCTTGATTTTCACTTAAATTACACTACTTTGTGCTCACCTCTTTTGGTTTCAGTACTGGTTGTGGCATCATGCGTCCAAACCCCTGTACAATCCAGCCAACCATGCTTGAAAACAAATGAAATATAATGCATGTCATTAGACTTATCTACATATGAAAATAATTCAAATGTATCTAAACAATAAAAGGCCTCAGATATGTGTTATGTTCAGAATGGAATACTAGTATACCGATAACTGAATGATAATACAAAACAAAACAAAAGGGAAAGTTTTCCTTTTTAAACCAGAAATGAAATGTGAAAGAGGCAGTTTCTTCTTTATTGATTCCAGCACTAATGAATCGAATAAGCAGATACAAATTATTATCTGAAAAGAGGTCAATATTTTATTTTGTGTGCATAATATTTGTGTCACGCCTGCCAGCCGGAATGCCTGTGATAGCCACCAGAGGGCACTCCTTTCATCTTTGTTATCTCATCATGGACTGCATTTCCCATAACCCATTGCCCGGACTCATTATGCCTGATTGCTTTCAGCTGTTTCTCATTACCCTTGATGACTCTGCCTATATAAGCCCTGTGTATTCACACATTCATTGCAAAGTCTTGTAAGTGTTATACTGCATTTCAAGAGTGCTCTTGTGTAATGGTTCTGACTTTCTACCTGGATTTCCCTGTCTGCCCTGTGTTTTGATCTATTGCCTGTTTGATGGATTATGATTCTGGATTGACCTAATAAAACTGTATTTGGGTCCTAAACAAGTGTGTTTCAGGGCAGTTACGTGAAAATTTGTGTGTAAAGTTTTAATTCAAATTTTGGGATTCAACTTAAAGGAACACTCCGACTTTTTGGGACTTTAGCCTATTCACCTTATCCCCCAGAGTTAGATAAGTCCATACATACCTTTTTCATCTCCGTGCGTGCTTTAAGTCTGTTTGACGCACCCACCGCTAGCCTAGCTTAGCACAAAGACTGGATGTAAATGGTTGCAGCTAGCATACTAATCCAAATAAGTGACAAAATAACGCAAACATTTTCCTATTTACATGTTGTGATTTGTATAGTCACAGAGTGTACAAAAAACACGGGCGGAGTGATAACCGCAGCACCTGAGACGCGCTCTCTGCTCCTCACCACGGCACGTCTCATGTGCTGCGGTTATCACTCCGCCCAAGTAGCAGTGCTTCGCCTTCAGAGAATATAGTTCCCAGTATTTATACGGTTAAAATATGTCTGTCTCATGTGACTTTGTTTTTTGTACACTCTGTGACTATACAAATCACAACATGTAAATAGGAAAATGTTTGCGTTATTTTGTCACTTATTTGGATTAGTATGCTAGCTGCAACCATTTACATCCAGTCTTTGTGCTAAGCTAGGCTAGCGGTGGGTGCGTCAAACAGACTTATAGCACGCACGGAGATGAAAAAGGTATGTATGAACTTATCTAACTCTGGGGGATAAGGTGAATAGGCTAAAGTCCCAAAAAGTCGGAGTGTTCCTTTAACATTTAAAAATACAACAACTGTTCTTTTTTATTTTTCTTGCCATGGTTAATAAAAGGGAAAAATAAATGGACGCAGAATTTCACGGACCCAAAACGTAATGAAATTAAACCAAAAACAAAACGTGTGTATACAGTACATTATGTTCAGAATGGAATACTAGCATATTGCTAACCAAATACTACCAAAAAAAGTACATAAAAAAATGTATATATATATATATACAGGTGAAACTCGACAAATTAGAATATTGTGCAAAAGTTCATTTATTTCAGTAATTCAACTTAAAAGGTGAAACTAATATATTATATAGACTCATTACATGCTGAGTGAGATATTTCAAGCCTTTATTTGTTATAATTTTGATGATTATGGATTGCAGCTTATGAAAACCCCAAATTCAAAATTAGAATATTGTGAAAAGGTTTTCATAGCTGTAAGCCATACTCATCAAAATTATAACAAATAAAGGCTTGAAATATCTCACTTAGCATGTAATGAGTCTATATAATATATTAGTTTCACCTTTTAAGTTGAATTACTGAAATAAATTAAATTTTGCACGATATTCTAATTTTTCGAGTTTCACCTATACATACACACACACACACACACACACACACAGTTGTAATCAAAATTATTCAACCCCCATTGCAAATCAGGTTTATTGACTTTCAGCTGTTTGCAATGAACAAATCAAACAAAAGTAATTGAAATAGCTCAACACAACAAATGTTTCAAGTGTTTTTTCCCAAATTCAACAGCAAATGCAACTTTTAATGACTTCTGCAGTCTCAAAATTATTCAACACCCTTGAATAGAATCCCTTACAATCTGAAAAACAGGTGTTGTCTCAAAGGGCTTCATTAGTTGCACCAGGTTGGCTTGAGCTAGTACACAACACATGTAATATCTGAACTGGCTAGGTTTGTTGAGTGTCACGTTTGACTGCATGTTAGAAATATGGCAAAAGAATGGTCCAAAAAGTTAGGAGAAAGATATTATCACCCGTCACAAACAAGGAACAGGATATAAAAAGATAGCAAAGGCATTAAATGTTCATAGAGACACCGTTGGAAGCATAGTTCGCAAGTTCAAAGTTAAACGAACAGTGGTTACACTTCCAGGATGGGGCAGAAAAAGGAAGTGATCAACGGCTGCAACCAGATTTCTGAGAAGGCAGGTTCAGAAAAACCCTCGAAAGACAAAAGACCTTCAGCAAGACTTGGTGGCAACAGGCACTGAGGTTTCAGCTTGCACAGTAAGACACGTAAACGCATGCCAGACTTCAAGACGTTCACCTCTACTGACCCAAAAGCACAAGAAAAGTCGGCTCCAATTTGCTCAAAATCATATAAATAAGCCATAAATGTTGTGGGATTCTGTTGTGGAACTTTTCAGCCCTATGGATCAGCGGTATGTCTGGAAGAAGAAGAATGAAGCATATGCTGAAAAGAAAACTCTGTCTGCAGTTAGGCATGGTGGTGCTCGGTGATGCTCTGCGGCTGCTTTATACCCTCTGGCACTGGAAACCTGCAGCGTGTGGAAGGCAAGATGGATTCATTGAAGTATCAGGAAATCCTAGGAGAAAACGTCATGCCGTCAGTGAGGAAGCTGAAGCTTGGGAGTCACTGGACCTTCCAGCGGGACAATGATCCTAAGGATACCTCAAATTGCCCCAAGGCTTGGTTGCAGAAGAAGTCCTGGAAGACTCTACAGTGCCCATCACAGTCACCTGACTTGAACCCCATAGAAAATCTCTGGTGGGATTTGAAGACGGCGGTTGCAGAACGCAAACCCAAGAATATTACTGAACTGGAGGCCATTGCTCATGAGGAACGGGCTCAGATTCCTCAGAAACGCTGCCAGAAGCTGGTGTCTGCTTATACATCTCGTTTGCAGAAGGTCATAACAGCAGAATGGTGTTCTACTGAGTACTAAAGATGCTTCCCATGAAGGGGTTGAATCATTTTGAGACTGCAGAAGTGATTAAAAGTTGCATTTTCAGTTGAATTTAGGGAAACCACTTGAAACATTTGTTGTGTTGAGCTATTTCAATTACCTTTGTTTGATCTATTCATTACAAACAGCTGAAAGTCTGTAAATGTTGCCAATGAACCTGATTTGCAGTGGGGATTGAATCATTTTGATTACAACTGTATATAAATGTGCATTAAACCAGGGGTGTCGAGGTTTGGTTGTTTTACATAGCCATAGACATTATAAGGAAAGGGGACCGACACTCACTTTGTGCCTTTGGGATCCTCAGCTAGTTTAGGTTGCTCAGGAGCTGCGGGTACAGGTGCGGGTGCTGGTGTTGGTGCGGGTGCAGGTGGAGGTGCAGGAGCAGGTGTTGGTTCAGGTGCTGAATATTAAAAAAAAGTCAAATGCAGAAAACTCTGTCTCCCAGGAAGCCCAACCGAGCATTTTCGATTTTCAAAATTCTACCTGGCTCTTGTTTGCAGGGTGTGACAGGAGCAGAAGCAGCCCTCTGAACAGGTGTTTCCGTACCAGAGGGAGGATGAAGATGCATAGGAGACTGAGGGACTACCTTCTCAAAACCATGCTTAATCCATTCTATTACCCTGAAATAGAAAGAGACAGACACATTAAAGGAAGAGTTCAGCCATAATGAGAATTCTGATTAGCTTCTGACAGCTCATTAACATATACCTTGGAGAGAAGGGAACGTTAGCAGCGTCTGGCTCCTCATCAGACACAACCTCCACCACAGGAATATGAGGCAGCGGCTCAGCATCTGGTGGGAGAGAGAATCATGTCACATGTGTCCTTTCCGCTCTCATCAGCCCTTCACAATGCAAATTCTTTCAAAAATAATAATTGCCAAAGTTCATGCAGTTCTAGATCAAGTGGTTATCAAGAGGCTGCACTTACCACGAATGTCTTTGGCCTCTTGTACCTGCGAAGAGACGGAAACACAAAGAACTCTTACTGTGTGTGGCCTTTGATTTAATATTGGTGTTAAAATTAAGAGGCCAGGTGCTCTAGAGTCTAGATTGGCTTGCACTTCTGTTTTTCTCTGTCTATATTATGTCAAGCAGCCAATCATTCATTTGTAAAAGTGTTTGCGAGTGTTATATATCAGTGTTTCTTCAACTTTGTGGACTTTTGGCTCGGTAAACTTAGAAACTAAACAATAAAAACTATATTTTATCTAACTTTATTTCTTTAACACATCATATATCTCAAATTTCATCTCACACTGGAGAGATGTAGATTGTGTAAAAAAATAAAACACTGAAATCATTTTCACACACTAAATATATTTCACACTTGAATTATATTTCAAGATTAAAAGTCTGGGTCTGTGATTAGTGTAAAACAATAAAATACACATAAAACACATTAAAAAAAAACTCGCAATAGATAAATAACTTCCACTCCCTCTTGCAGCGACATCTATTCTCTTCTCTGATGATGCGTTTACTAGTGTGGGGGCGGGACAACCTGTCACTCAAATGAGATTCACCAATAGCAAACCACAACCATCCAATCAATTACATATGGACAAAATCAAGCCCCGCCAAACATTTTATCTTGTTCAAAAAGCTGTTTCACTCAGATATACGTCACAAAAGGGAAGAAAAGACTTTAAGGTTGAAGAAACACCCATATGTAACATATGTAAGCAAGTATGCACATTTCAAGCTGCTAGAGTAGCCATGCAAGCATTTGAGATGTCTGATGCTGCAGGGTCATACCATAGTGATGTACGAATATAGCAGGATATTTGAAATGCAATGAGGCTCAAATCTTAAAGACTCAATCTATAACCGCCCAAAGCAATCAGCTTGTGTTTACAACTTTAATTTGTTGTAACACTATATTCTGTGATGATAACATAGCTGTGAGGGATCAAGTAGAACTATATATAAAGTTATTAATATTCAGCAGTTTGGGCTGATTCTGGATTCTTGGAGTTTGTAGACCAAGTAATTCAAATGAATGTCTCTGTTCATCACCTCATATTTAAAGGGGACATATATGATGGTGCAATCTTTGAAATGAAACCGTAAGTAGACTTCTTTCAATATTCACAATTAACATTCACAGATCACTTACTGAAACTGAGCTTGAAATTTAACTTGTTAACATCAGATTTAAACATCAGCTCCTATTCAGGATCTTGTCCCGCCCAGATGATGTGATGAGGAAAAGTCTAGAATATGGCCCCTTTAATGCTGATTTGTGGGACAGATAGGGGAACAGCGAGCATGATCCTGACACAGCTTACTCCAAAAACACTGTACTTACTGGAGGATCCACTTTAACCACTGGAACAACTGCAGGCTAATTGGAAATGAAACAAAACTCTCACAGAAGCTCCTAGAAAAGCTAGACACCTTTGAGACTGGTGCCCGTGGACCTGAAATGCTCTGCTAGGACTAACTCCATTAACTCTGTTAGTGTCACTATATGTTCAAGTCACATTTTTAAAATCTAAAACAAAAATGTAAAAATCTAAATGTAAAAAAAAAGAAACCAAAATATTTCAAAATATCATTCCTCAGTTTTTATCTAATAACAAATAGAAACGTTCTCAGTAAAAATGGTAACTTTTTTTTAATGGAAGCATGTTTTTGCCATGGAATAAATTAAGAAAGATTAAAAAGTCACAATTACCTTTATTATTATTTTTTCTGTGGTTGAAACAAGCTTCCATTTTTTTTATACATCTTGGTAAAGTTTTGCTTTCATAGTTCATAATTTGTTATTTAAAATCTCTGTCACATTTAAACATTTATATTATCAATTTTATACAATGCACTGATTGTTTTTACATTGCACTAACATTTAAAGATATCCCCACTTAATTACATATTATGTAACTACATCTGTAATTACATGTACAAAAACCCATTGACCATATTATCAAACCTGTTTCTAACCATAACCGTACCTAACAATTAAATTTTTTGATGTAAGTACATAATAGTTAAAGATACCTCAAATAAAGTAAGACAAAATTCTGAATTTAAATTCATGTGAAATTATTGGATTAAACAAACAAATTATCAGGTAACACTTTATTGTAAGGTGACAGTTACACGTTACTACATGCACTTACTATAGTAATAACAGTATGCATAATTACAAGTAACTAACCCTAAACCAAACCCTAACCGTAACTCTATAGTAAGTACATGTAGTTGGTTAATAATACTCAGTACTCATTTGAGTAAGTACAGTGTAACTACACGTCACATTAAAATAAAGTGTAACCAATGATCCTTCTTTATAAATACAAATGTCCATGAACAGCATTAAAAACAAGTCATTAATATGCTCCACAAATTCCAAAATGCGTAACTAATAAGCTTATGCAGTAAACTGCAGTAAACTTGGTAAATAACCAAAAAAGTAATCACACTGCACAAAGCCTCACCATCTTATTGGATTAGTGAAATATGTGTGTCTATACCTCAGTGACCTCCTCTGGCTCTGTTTGCCCCTTGTATTTCTCATCCGGCTGTGGAACCACTTTTCCCAGTCCCTGCACAATCCATCCTATCATCCCAGCCCTGATGGAAGAAGAGATACAGTCCATCAGCTGCATGCTCTGGGCACAAGTGAGGACGTGAAAGCATGCAAATAAGCTGATTTGCTCTAAGTCAACTCTAGATGGCAGCAGGGGACAGTAAAAACAAACAGGTCTGCCCATAGGCGTCCGTGAAGCTGTAGCCTATGCTAATAAAAAAAAAAGAAGTTCCATTCCAGTTGTGTTCTTGTAGCAAATATATATATATATAGCCTATATAAAAGTTTATGTTCTATGGAAGCCAGTCTGCATATTAGAATGCTAAAGTTTATGTCTGTTCAGCATGGATATTTTGCCTTGAGCTGTTAATATGGAAATACAGCTCAGTGCAATAAAGTATCTTGCGTGTGTAGCATGCAAAAAATTCTCCATGCAGGTTTGCAGCAAAGCTTAGCATTTTTGTTCATGAGCTATATCCACTAAGCCTACTCACTGGTCCGATGTGTTACTGCCATCCGTGGTGATACAGTGATGAAAATATGTGTAAAACTCAACACAACATCCATTTAACAGGCACACACACAAATACAGATGCAAAACACACAAGTATTCCCATGTAACTACATGCCACAAGCCATACATAAACATACAGAAGAAAACTGAATCCATAGTTTGAAACTATACCTGTTGCTCACTGCATTTCCCTCTTGCTGTTCAATCCGTGGAAAACAAAAAGAAAAAACGTTCAACAATAAAACAGACAAACTCATTTGCCCTTACATGTACGTCACCGGGCATACGGCACCGTCATATTTGGATTCTGTTTCAAAATTGCACACATTTTTTTTTATTATTAAAAATTTTTTTTAATCTAATTTTCATGGTTTACAGCAAAATAGATCTCAATGACTGAAATTTGATTGGCTTCTAACCTAATTAAAATTGATGAAACAAAAAATGAGAGCAAACATTAAAATATCAATTAAATATGTACTTTGCACATTGGCAATCTAAATAAAAAAATGTTAATGTAACCGAGGAAGTGTGTAAGTATTCACTTTCAATGGTACTTAAGTACAGCATAAAAACTCCACAATTATACTCAAGTTTAATAAATAGCCTAATTATGAACACTCAAGAACTGTAATAGTGCAGGTATTCCGTTTCAATAGTACGTACAGCATAAAGTCTAAGTACAATTACTCAAGAACTGTAAGATAAAAAGCATATTATCGGTTATTATTAATTTGATTATGTAGATCATTTATTTAGCTTTATTATGTGAGTATACTCAACAGGAGTCATGAAAATACCTTGAGTTCAGCGTTGCCCAGTTTAGAGGCGTTCACTGGCTGAGGGAGAGCACTGCTGAACCCATTAGAAAGCCAACTCAAAACCCCATTCTGAGAGCTAGAGAGAGAGAGAGAGAGAGAGAGAGAGAGAGAGAGAGAGAGAGAGAGAGAGAGAGAGAGAGAGAGAGAGAGAGAGAGAGAGAGAGAGAGAGAGAGAGAGAGAGATAATTAGGTCTGGCAGGATTACAGCGTCTACAGACACTGAATGCACACTGTATGTACTCCAAAACACACACACACACACACACACACACACACACACACACACACAAACAAAACATCACCTGCTTTCCTCTGAGACCTCCTCCTTTGACTTGGAAGGGTTGGCTTCTGTAAAATAACATCATGAAAAATGTATGAACAATACTCTTTTTCTGTAACGTGGTGAATGTTGGTCATTGATCAAAACTGCTGTCAAATTTGATAGAGTGCATATATAGTTACCTTGTTTTACGTCCTCTTTTTTCGTCACATCCTAAAGAATAGTATGGAGAGAGTGAAGACATGCTTAAACTGTGACAGACGACTCAGTGTAGAAACACATTTACACAAACACACACTCACTGCTGATGTGGACGCATTGGTTTGGTCCTCCTCTCCCAGTTTCCCAGGAGACGCTGGAGGCTGGGGAACAACTTTTACCACCCAGCTAAACATGCTGTCAGAAATACAGATTAACACCGTCAATGTCAAATAAGAATGTTTACTATAATTAAAAAGAATCGTCCAAAAAGATACTTTAAAAGTGTTGGGGAGTAACTAACTAAAATAGTGACTCTTCAGTAGTTTCCAGTTCGAACCCAACCAGTAGCATTGCATGCAACCAGACGTTACATCGCTGTTTTTATTGCCTGCGTTCAACTAAAATAATCAAACGCGTTCACATAAACAGTCCTCTCTGTCATAGCGTTAGAAAGTCTGATTTATTCTAGTGAATCGGTTCATTCCAAACAGCCTTGTTATATGTAGCGTTAGAACCGTTTGAATTTGTCTGAAACGGTCCCATCTCTCTCATATGCAGTATTGGAAAGTCAGTTCATTCTAGCGAATCTGTTCTTTCGGGAAGTTCATGTAATTTACATGAGATTAAAATATGGCTCACCAATTCATTCTAATGAATCAGTCCTATCTCTCTCATAAAGCATTGGAGTTCAGTTCATTGTAGTGAATCAGTTCGTTGTGTAAATGAATAGATTAAATATGATTAATCGATTTGAGTGCCTGTAGGCTACTATGTGCCCTTTTCAACTCAGTTATAGGATATAGTCTATAAGTTATAGCCTATAAGCTATTTCTGCTGTATTTATTATAGATTTACCTGCTCAAGTTTGATACTGTCACTTAAACTGAGATTGCTCATTGATTTTAAAACCCTCGTTGTTTTTGTGTCACGTCACCAAAAATATAGCGCTGATTAAACTATAAGAGAAATTATGAAATAACCATAGGAAAAACTATTAATAATAATTAAGATAATTAATTAATTTAACTAATAATTTCAGCCTTTTATTAAGTCTTTCATTAGGCATTAGTCTCACCACTAAGCCCGCACAAAATATCTCTTTTTTAAAAATAAATTTTAAAAGTCATGTAATTTTCATTAAAGCTGCAGTCCGTAGCTTTTTTAAGTTAAAAATAATTCAAAATAATTATATTAAAAAAAACTTATTCTGCCAGTGGTCAAAACTATCTCCTTGCCATAGCTAGATTCAAAACGGTTAGCTTGTAATAATGTTTTTAATTCCAGTGGTACTGGTGGGTTTCCGCGGGAAATTCGAGCATGTCTTTGCGTCATTACGTCACATCCGTACACATAAAGAAGGAGTTTCGGCTAGCCGGCTGTACTGCGCGTGACGAGATGTTTAGATGTATAGACTTTTCTCGCAGCACTCTACATAATTAAACTTAAGGCATCCAGAAAGATCCAAACAACAATCATCAGTGTCAACTGGAGATTCAGCAGTTATAAAACCCCAAAGACTTCGTACTTCGGATTTAAGGTGGCTAGAGAAAGAGAAAGAAACCGTCTCATGCGAACACAAGGATTTAAACATCGGCGGGGCTTTTGAAAAGTGCGTGAACTCTGTGTTTTGAAGGGGTTCAAAACGGAAGAAGAGACGGCTTTTTTCTGCTGAACAAGTAAGACATTTCAATAGTTCAATCGTGTATCAGTACGTTTTCTTAATTCACACAGTTATGGAGTTTCCTTTGTTGTGCCTTTCTCGTTTTGCTATTATGGAGAATATGAATTCTGAACTACACAGGTAACCATAAAACACATTACATTTAACATTAGTCACGCAATGCTGATGTGATGTTGTTAACATGAACAATTTGAGAACAAAGTAGGCTATAATTTGCACGGTTGCTGTAAATCACGGTGATTAAATCTAACGAAGCTTATCATGTCGAATGCTTTTTCCCCCTTAGTTGGTCAGAACAAAAAAAGGATGTTACTTACTTGTTCAGAAGACATTTTCTTATGAAAATTCTTATGTTGGTCAAACTTTCAAAAAGTGAATCTGTGATTCTGTATGACAGTATCCACACAGCGCGGTGACTGACAGCAGCACTCGCCTCAAAACACTGTGTTCATCCGCGCTGTTTCATGCCGATTTACAACCCGCATAAAGATGATAATTCCGCGAATCACTGCAGTTACAGATTTCGAACAGAGAGATGGCGACAAAGAGGAAAAGCTACGGACTGCAGCTTTAATTGTAAATCAATGTTGTTATGCATATTTATTCATGCACAGCAGCTGCAGTGACCAATGTGGCAAAATAAGTGTATACACACTTAAAGGGGTGTCACATAAATAATACTGAAGTATAATTTACATTTTATAATCATGGTTTTGCCAGGCTGGAAAGCTGTCGTTTAGAGATAATTTCAAGTAAATTCAATCCTGCAAGAAGAAGTGAAACAGCTATCATTGCATGCTTATGTACTTGAATTTATTTAATAGACTGTCAATCATTTTGCACATTTGAGTTTGCGGATATGCCTTTGAGGTGCAAATTTTGAAGGGAAGGTGTGTTAAAGTTAACACAGCAGCTGAAACTGCTTACAGCTCCTAGTTTAAAAACCAATTGACATGACATTTGTAATAAATCTAACTTTTTCTTGCTCTTGGTCACAGGGGTTTTGCTCCAAAGGGATCATGGCTGTTTGTGTGTGGGCTCCTGTCACTGTTAATCACTGATAAATGCATCTGACCCTAATCTCTCCTGGCTCGAACACCTGCGGAAACAGCCCGAGCCAGCTGTACCTGTCTACCCACACTGTTCCACTTTACACCTGAGCGGAGAAAGATGTAGGCCGAGGCCGCGGACTTCATTGTTCTGCGGTGGTCTCACTGTTAACTCAATCTGCTCACTCTAAACTCTCCATTTCAGGCCCGACATGTATTCAAACAACTGCTACACTCCCAATACTGCAGATTTTAAATCATCATCACTTAAACCTCCCCAACTCTGTTTGGTCAATTGACCGGTATCTGTTTTAATACCAGCCCTTATACACTGCGACCAATAGAAACACCAAATACACTGAGCCAAACGAATAAAAACAGCGATTATGAGTGAACTGCACAATACAGAAACAGCCTCTGAGCAGATGGGTGAAAACACTGAGCCCGAGTAGCTTCATGGACTGGTGATTTACTGCTAGTCAAACCAGCTGTCAGGAGGTTCATATGGGTTGACATTTGAAGAAATGAGCTGTGACCTACTTATACATTCTCTAAAAACAGAAAGTTTCATTTCTGTATATTTACTGCATGGAAATTCAGCTGCCCCTGATCCTGGTAAATATTATGGTGCCAGAAAATTTCATTCGATCTAATACAAAATGATGGTTACTCTTACAATAATGTTCCATTTATTAACATTTGTAGTTTATTACATATAACATGACCTGCAATGAAAAATATGGTAACACTTTATTTAAGTGTCCCTGTTACATGTAGTTACTATAGTAATAGTAAAAGCATAGCAACTGACCCTTACAAACCAAACGCTAACCCTAATTTTATAAAAAAAGTATATTTTGTTAATTAATACTCAGTATAATTACTGTAACAAGGGCACCTTAAAATAAAGTGTCTTTTAAACCGTTTCTTAATCTTAGTTCATGTAAATTTCAACATTTACTAATACATTATTGTCGTCTGTTAATATTATTTATTCACCTGAGCTAACATGAACTAACTATAACAAAGATGAATAAATACTTTTTTTTTTAATAATAAAAACAAATTTATAATTAGCTAATCTGTTGATGCATTAACTACCGTTAACTAATTGACCTGGTTGTTGCAATCCACACAATTTTAAAATAATTACAGAACTAAACAAAAACAACAACAATAAAACACTACACAAAGCGCATCAAATGGACATTGATATTAATATTTCAGAGTCTTGCTTGTTAATGTTGGCAGACGCAATATTTACCTGTTGTGTTCACCAGAAGACAATCATCCCAGAGAGAGGCTGAGGGCTCAAGGACGGGCAGGTGGGGAAGTGGAGGGATTATCCGTGAGAAAGCTCAGCTAACAGGATTAGGCTTTCTCTGGGAAGGATGGACAGGGAGGACCTGGACTTGGACCTCATTAGCTTCACAGAATCCTTCTTGGAGCTCAGCCCGTAAACAGAGGGGTCCAGGACAAAGAGTGGAGTCAGAATCCATCGCCAAAACTCCTCAAATAGTAGCCAATTTAAATATATAGAGTTTTTTTCTAGGCTGCTTTGGTCTCATTTCATATTTTTCACAGGTAAACCCCAATGCTCAAATCAATTCATTGGTTTGAGTAGGGTAAACTTAAATTGAACAAATTAGTTAAATCAAATGAACTTTTATGAGTATTTAGAACTTTATTTTTTGTTTGAGTTCACAAAACTGACACATTTTTAAGTAATCGGAATTTTCACTGAGTTTTATGAACTTGTTTCTTTTAATTAAGACACACTTAAATTTAACTGAAACTGGGCTGGGATTTCTATTTCCCAGCATGCTTTGCCATGACACTCAAAAGGGAGAGTAAATGCTACTCGTATGACGTGAGTTGACGCTGTGTTAGCTTATAACAGAGAGGGAAGTCACATGTTTTGTATTGTTCATCAATACTTAAGTGCTTATCCTGGATGCAGCAACCTATTAAAAAAATGAAGATTAGGCTCACTTGTGTGATCTCAATCGGAAAGATTGACTTTTACGTTTGAGCTCATGCACATACGTCATTATGCGACAGGAAGCTTGCGCTCCATGACTGTCAGGAATGTGCTCAGGACTGTTTGCTGAGGCTGTGAATTACAGGTAATAATGTTGTAAATAATGTTCAGTTTCTTGCACAGACCATGGTTCGAATTACGTGGGAGCCAGTGGGAGCTGAGCTCCCATAGAGAGAGTATGAGCTCCCATGAAAGCAGTAAAATCCTACACCTGTGGGGGCTCTAAAAATCATCAGCACCATCATTTTAAATTACAAATAAAGCACGTTTTCCTTCAATAATCGAGGCATATTTGTTAACCCTTTCGCACGTACGTTCACAGCGGTGTGATTAGAACAGTCAGTGCATCACGTGATCAACTGCTAAATTCAAAAGTGCTTTCGCGCGTTGGCTGGCGCTGAGCCAGAGACAGATGCGCTCAATATACACAATATATCACAACTATTCAGTGTTTTCAACCACATAATGTTTATTTTAGGTTTCAGACATTTAAATACACAAAAGTAGCTACTAGCAAAAAATGATTTGGGGGGACGCTAGGTAGGCCCCCACCAATATTTTAGCGAACTCCTTTCAGGGTTTTCCTGCATGGAATTACGAGGCAGCCGCCTCCGGCTCTCAACAAAACTCGGCCTGTGGCCATTCTCAAACCGTATAGTTTGCCGATAGTGCTGCGCGGGTCGGGCGAGACAAAGAATAAAAAAAATTAGCCTACATTCAAATTAATCGAGGATGGATGAAAGATAAATCATTATAATGTGTTGATTTTAATAAAGACACGGAACTCTTATCATGGTAAAACGCAATGAGCGTCACTCTTTTACTTTCGTTTTCAACAACGTAATTCTCTTTAGAGAAAATCAATCAAGGAAAACATGTCAGGGCATTTACTACAGTTGTAATTTTTCAATGTAAATTATTTAATTTGATTGGTAACAGCCTACTGTCTTATTATTCTGATTTAATGTATTGATCAAATTAAGGAATATTTTAAAAGAAAGATGGAGCATAGGCTACATACAATTAGAGGGGAAAATGCCCTATTTTAAAGGTAAAAAATGTATTCTGATAAGAGTGTTTGCCAACAGTGATGTAATGAAACATTGACAATTTAACTTTGAAGGGAGTAAAAAGCCTCTGTTAAGGATATTAAGGAAATGTAATTTTGGCCAAAGAATAACTTTTAATTTAAATAAATGTTAATTTTAAATCAGCCTACTTCAGTGTGATATTTTACCATATTATCATGCTTAACATTGAGAATTTGAAAAATTGTAATGATGATCAGATGCAGATCTAAATCAAAGAATATCACATGTTTGGGCGGTTGGATTATTTTTAACAGCGGATTCGGGTGACTCAAAGTGCACCAGATTAATGAATTTATCTTTAAAATGTACAAAATTTTCTTCCTGGGGGGGGGCATGCCCCCAGATCCCCCTAGAGGTAACGAACTCCACCCAAATATTCTCTACACCTGTATTAAGAAACGTACGTTGAACTCAAAATAATGAAGTGCAGTATTTAGCTATTTATTTATCACATACACCACGCCTGCTCATGGGTTACTTTTTTTTCTTTCTTTAAAGAGACCCCCACAAAGATGAAATCATAATTCGAACCCTGGCACAGACCAATCGTTTCGCTTCATAAGACCTCAATGTATCGTGAGGAGCCACGGGTATCCATTTTGTTTTGCGTATATATGTGTGTTTTTTTTACTCTCAAAGTGACGGTAGCCGTTGACCAGCATTATATGAATCACCAAGGACCACATATTTTGCGTTTAGTGAAGAAAAAAAGTCACCTACATCTTAGATGGCCTAAGGGTGAGTAAATTAACAGCAAATGAAACATTTTTTGTTAACTATCCCTTTAAACGAAAATGAGAAATGTTGCCTTGGAAATGAGGTGAAATAATATATATATATTTAAAATATTTTATTTCAGTTAAAGTTTATTTTACCTCAAGTAATGAAAATGAAATAATTTTTTTATGGTTTTAGATTTAGTTAACGATAATAACCTTGCCTCAATCTCATTTCTCCTTGACTCATTGGATCCCAGTCTCCCCAATGAGATTAATTTCATTGCTAGGGTTATGGTTTAATGTGTTTGAAAGGTTAAAGTTGCAGGTGAGTTTCTGAGTAAGATATTATTGCTCCAGGAAGACATCCTACGGTCATAAGACAAAAATACTAATGTCCTAATTTAACGGTCTTTAGGGGTCCCTCAAACCTGCATAAACAAGATCTGATATTAAGAGCAATTCTGGCGGTGTTTGCCGCTACCCTTCAGACACGGTGACTATCTCAGTCTGTTGCCATCGCCTCCCAGTTTGCCATCTGGCACATATTCATCAGTGAGATAAGATGCCGTCTCTCGGCTCATGTTTAAAAATTCTCAAAGCCTGAGATGAGTCACTTTCACCTCTGCTCACAACCCTCTGGAGTCTGCTTCATCCCTCCTCCCATATGTCCCCCACCCTGACACTTATTACAGACGCTACATCACATCCCTGAGTGGAGGAAACATCACACAACGTCTGATTATCTGTCAAGAATTTCCCCCCTAAAATATTTTGGTAACACATTATCACAACTTTCATTAATGATTCAGTAGGAATCAAAATATAGCTATAGAGTGTATGTGCGTGACGTCACCGTCGGCCGGGGCGATTGCGGTTTCGCACTGAGTGGCACTGACAGCATTTGTTTTCAGCGTGAATTCTGCGAAAACACACTAAACACCAGGGCCGGCCCTGACCAATTTGCTGCCCTAGGCAAGATTTTACCTGGTGCCCCATTACAGCCCATTTCACCCCAACATTGCGTTGGTGATTATTTAGTCATATATATATATAGCCTACATTATATATATATACACTCACCGGCCACTTTATTAGGTACCCCATGCTAGTAACGGGTTGGACCCCCTTTTGCCTTCAGAACTGCCTCAATTCTTCGTGGCATAGATTCAACAAGGTGCTGGAAGCATTCCTCAGGGAGTTTGGTCCATATTGACATGATGGCATCACACAGTTGCCGCAGATTTGTCAGCTGCACATCCATGATGCGAATCTCCCGTTCCACCACATCCCAAAGATGCTCTATTGGGTTGAGATCTGGTGACTGTGGAGGCCATTTTAGTACAGTGAACTCATTGTCATGTTCAAGAAACCAATTTGAAATGATTAGAGCTTTGTGACATGGTGGAAGTAGCCATCAGAGGATGGGTACATGGTGGCCATAAAGGGATGGACATGGTCAGAAACAATGCTCAGGTAGGCCGTGGCATTTAAACGATGCCCAATTGGCACTAAAGTGTGCCAGGAAAACATCCCCCACACCATTACACCACCACCACCAGCCTGCACAGTGGTAACAAGGCATGATGGTTCCATGTTCTCATTCTGTTTACGCCAAATTCTGACTCTAACATCTGAATGTCTCAACAGAAATCGAGACTCATCAGACCAGGCAACATTTTTCCAGTCTTCAACTGTTCAATTTTGGTGAGCTCTTGCAAATTGTAGCCTCTTTTTCCTATTTGTAGTGGAGATGAGTGGTACCCGGTGGAGTCTTCTGCTGTTGTAGCCCATCCGCCTCAAGGTTGTGCGTGTTGTGGCTTCACAAATGCTTTGCTGCATACCTCGGTTGTAACGAGTGGTTATTTCAGTCACTGTTGCCCTTCTATCAGCTCGAACCAGTCTGGCCATTCTCCTCTGACCTCTGGCATCAACAAGGCATTTCCGCCCACAGAACTGCCGCTCACTGGATGTTTTTTCTTTTTCGGACCATTCTCTGTAAACCCTAGAGATGGTTGTGCGTGAAAATCCCAGTAGATTAGCAGTTTCTGAAATACTCAGACCAGCCCTTCTGGCACCAACAATCATGCCACGTTCAAAGTCACTCAAATCAACTTTCTTCCCCATACTGATGCTCGGTTTGAACTGCAGGAGATTGTCTTGACCATGTCTACATGCCTAAATGCACTGAGTTGCCGCCATGTGATTGGCTGCTTAGAAATTAAGTGTTAACGAGCAGTTGGACAGGTGTACCTAATAAAGTGGCCGGTGAGTGTATATAGCAAGAGCATTACATCTAGCATTCAAGTCAAGTCCCCTTTATTTTTATATAGCGCTTTTTAGCCTACAATACAGATTATTTCAAGGCAGCTTTAGTTATGGAAGCAAATAAGAGACATAACTATTTGAAATTTAACAGCCACTGAATACTTAGTTTTGAAATATTTTATTTTGAAAAACCTTTATCTGAATTTATTTGCTCTGAATTCACCCCATTGAAATTTGTTTTACTTTGGAAACCATGTATCTGAATTTATTTGTTTTTGTTTTGTTTAAAAACTTGAATTTCGATTTTAATATTTTTCAATGCTCACAAATTCAGATACAAAAAAAAAAATCAAACTTACAGAATTTCAGATAAAATAGATTCAGGTTGATCAAATTCGACTGTTCAAAT